TCAAAATGGTGCCCTCCGGATGTATTGGGCTAAAATTCCCATCATCCTGGCTCTTGACAGCAATTCAGAGGTTCTTTTCCACATGCAGATCTTCTTGGTGGCAGTCCCCAAACTGCAGAATGCTCGCTCTCGTTAGTCTTATTTGGTATCTGGTTTGCAATCCTTTTTGAGCTCCGCATGGATAAATTCCCAGCCATTTTAAATACCGCTGTTTTATTCATTGCAAAGTACTTTTAATTTTGCACCCAGAGCAGTTTACATGCAGACCATTAAAACTGACCGTTCCAATAGTTTTGCAAGCTAAAACAACAGCAGGGGTTTTTTGAATCATGCCCCTGAAGAATTTAGCTGTGTAATATTGACAGCCATCACTTTTGAGTGTTGTAGTATATCTTTCCTGAATATTTATTTATTTAAATTTTAGAGTTATGTTTGGCTAAATGAGCCTGAGGGTCCTCTAAGCAGATTACAGTCAATAAAACATAATAGCAATAAAAGCAACAATTAAAAGACACCGAGCAAGGGGCAATAAAACAAGACAGCATGTGGCTGAGGGCAATTTATTTAAAATTGTACGTTAGGGAATGGCTACTAGTTTGTGTTTTTGTTCCCTCTCACCCAGATTCTCCACGAAGTCGTGGCTCTCTCAGTCATGCCAGGTGTGTCAGAAAAGCATGATGTTCGGAGTGAAATGTAAACACTGCAGGTGAGTAGGCAATAAGGATATCACAACATTACACCATTTTACAGGGAGTGTTAACAGGTGGATTAACGTACCACAATCCAGCTGTCTTGCCCAAGAGAGCAGCTCCACTCCTGTACCTGTTACGAAGGTATGGAAGTGTACCTGGTTGCACTCTGATTATATAAACAGATTGAGCAATGAGAAAATCAATTTTTCTTCTTCGCGGGCAGCTAACAGGTGTGATTGCAGATACAATTGAGGAGAGAAGCCAAACAGCTTCACTGAAAAGAGCCAGTGCGGAGTAGTGGTTAGAGCAGAGATGTTAAACCTTGGGACGCGGGGCAGATGCAGCCCATTAATGGGGTACCCCTGTCCAGCTTGTCCCAGAGGAACACATCGCATTTTCCCTACTTACTGGTTCCCAGCTTTGTGCATTCTCTCCCTAACCTCCCACCCTACCTGCATTTCTAAAAAAAATTGAAATAGTTTCAAGGTTTATTGATTGCCTTGAAGGTGCAATAGGTTGAGTGTCTTTATTTTGGATTTTGGCCTCAGTCTTTGGCTCCACCTTCTGCTGGAATGTGGCTCTTGAAAGCTTCCCTGATACAGAACATGGCCTGTGAACTAAAAGAGATTCTGTCCCCATGTTAAGAGTTTTGGCGATGCGGGTTCAAACGCTCCTTCGGCTAGCATGAGTCACTCTTCCTTGGCCTAAGCTACCTCCCAGCACATTTGAGTCCCTAGAATACAAAGACCAAGAAGACAACACAGTCCTTTGCAAATTTAGACAGAAATAGTCCCTCAGCTCCCAGGATTTCTAGTGTCCAGCTAGGGAATGCTGGGAGCTGTAGAATTGTTTTCCGGGAATGGAATTGATCCCAAGGAGTGATGAATTAAAGGGGAAAATTTGACAGAGCGTTCATACAAAAAATACATTCTGACATTACCATTCAAGGCTATTTTATAACCATCAAAATCCTGAATTCCTTTATGTCATTCCTAATTATATTTCTTCCAATAGACCCATCTTTACATTTTAATAATTATACTCCTTCTTTATCAATTATATCTATGCCCCACCTTTTTCCCACACCTTTTTGCCCACACCAGAGTCGTATAGAGTAGCAACAATACCTCTCTCGATCTAGAAGCCACGCTTCTGGCTCTGCATCCAAGGGTGGCGTTTGCCCTCTTGGCCACTGCGTAATACATGCATCTTCCTCCAGTCCTAGGCTGAGTCTAACCACTGTACCTCACTGTTAGGGCCTGCTCCTGGAGTCCCTCTGTGATGTACCCATAAATGTTGTAAGCCGCCCCGAGGCCTTGGCAAGGGGCGGCATAGAAATGTTTTAATAAATAAAATAAATAAATAAAAAGGTCGGCTCCTGCTGATTGTGTCTCTTTTCTTCCACAGATTAAAATGTCATAACAAATGCACCAAAGAGGCCCCACCATGTAGAATATCTTTCTTACCCCGTAAGTGTGTGCTTTCATCTCCCCCTCCCCTCAAATTCTAAACCCCTTTGTGTGGTTGCAAGGGCAAGAAATTCAGGTAAAGGGGTTTCTTCCCTCTCTTCTCTTCCACCTGTGTTCAGTAGTATCACCGTTAAGGCGGACGGAGTCTGTCCCTTCGGATATCAATAATCCCGTGGACCGACCGTCAGAGCCACAGTTTGGAACTCTCCCGAAAGCACTAACTAAAAAGGTACTGGGTTTCTTCGGCCAGGGCAGAGAATCCCATGAAAACACACCCACCGCTTCCACGGCGGCAAAGAAATTTAGGCAGCTGTCGAACAATTAGCTCTTGAGTGAGTTGAGTTTGGTTAACACGCGCATGCATTAAACTGCTGCTTTTGTGTAGGTCCAGCAGAAAGCCCCTTTCCGCTCCGGGAAGTACATTTAGCATCAACCTGAGAGAGGCCTTGTTGTAGCGCAGAGAGTCATTTAATCATGACACTGAAGTTGCATGTCTGTACATACGCCTTCCAGAAGTTGCAATTCGGCAACGACTAGCTGGCAGGACAACTGTGGGGACTGTCGTCCAACCCCGCTGGAGGCTATTAAGTTGGGGAAGGGGGCAGCCATGTATTGAACCAGCCTGAAGCAAGGTCCAAAATTCTGCCATGGCAATCCCTCTCACAAACATGGCTTTACCCCGGAGTAAATGAATACATTGTGGACAAGTCCAACCATGGCTTTTCACTGGAAGAGCGTGGTAAAACCTCCATTTTCAGGGGCAGTTTACCTCTGAATAACAACCCTCAGGGAGAGCCCAGCAAGGTAAGGGTCATGACCAGCCTGTAAGCCTCTCATTGACTGCTACAGGAAACAGGATAGGGGACCCGGTGGACTCTGGATCTGGCTGAGCATGGCTCCAGGTGTTTTATGGACCTGGGGGACGGGGGCCCTGGTGGTGCCTTCTCTGTGCTGGCCCCCAACTTCGGCATTCCCTTGCTGCAGTGTTGTACTCCAGAAGTGTTGAACCGCTCTAGGCCTGAAGGTTGACGTTTTGGGGGATGCTCTGAGACACTAGCCAACAACCGCACTCGGTGTCGTCTCACCTGCCCAGGAGCTCTTTCCTCACGATCTCTGCCTTCTCTTCGCCACTTCCAGGACCATGCCCCGGCCATCAACCACCTCGACTCCAGCAGTAACCCTTCCTCTACCACCTCTTCCACGCCGTCTTCTCCGGCCCCCTTCCAGTCTTCCAACCCCCCCAGTGCGACGCCACCCTTAAACCCGTCGCCCATGGGCCAGCGGGACAGCCGGTTCAACTTTCCAGGTAAATTTGGCTTCGTTCCAGAGGATGACACTCTTCTGCAGAAGGAAAACAGATGGACGAAGCTTGAAAATATTATTATTATTATTATTATTATTATTATTATTATTATTATTATTATTATTATTACATTTCTATGCCGCCCCTTGCCGAAACCTCGGGGCGGCTTACAACACAATAAAATACATTGAAATACAATAGAACATAATAAATTACCATTAAATACAAAAATACAAAAAATACACTGAGTTCCATGTGGGAGGCAGTGTTTGGACAACTTATAGAATTCCATGATTGAGGAAAGCACAATAAAAGCTAAGCCTTGGAAGTACCTTAGATCTTGATGGTATTCCAGGATTCTTTGTTGTGTTTGCTGCAGCCAGCTCTGGAAATGCAAACATGGCTGGGTGTTGCTGTAAATTTAAAAATAAAATAAAATAAAATTTAAGAAAAGGGCCTGCCATGCAAGCTTAAGATCCATTTCACTGTAGGTATGTTTATCAGACACAGAAATGGAAGAGGGTCGTGTTTTGTTTTGGATTCTTGTCATTCTACATAATGCACAAACAGTATTTGATCCTCTTAGAGTGTGGGAAATTTAACATAGTTAAAATTTTTGGATGGTTTGAAGGGGTTAAATGGTTATTTTTAACTGTTGTAGTTAAATGCTTTGAAGGAGAGGGAATTTGATGCACTGGGAGCCTGGGCGTTCACTTGGCTTGTGGAATGATAAAAAAGATACAAACACCGGAATGGGAAACTAGTAGATAAATTCTTGCTGTGGAACCACAACTGAAAGCTAATTTGTCTTCGACTTGATCTGACTCTGCAAAAGATGCATTCTCCAAACCTGTTGCAAACTTTTCGGCATGCGTAAGTCTGCATCTTGAAAACTTGTGCAATCGTTTGCAATTTTTTGGCTGGTTCCTAAAAGGTGGAGCCCAGCTGTGGATCATAAGGACCCAGCATGGCTTTCTTTGCTTTTTTTTTTAATGTCTCAAGATGTATATGCTTCCAATGGGCCCACATTTCGCCCTGGCTTTTTTTACCATTTACTAACAATGAACGGGGATTAATTCGCCGGACGTATAAATGTGAGACCGTTGCCAACACAGTAATCTTCTCGCATGCTAATCTCTTGTGATTTTTTATTTTATGTTTGCTCTCTCCCCTCTCTCTTTTTCCCTTAAAAAGCTGCCTACTACATTCAGCATAGACAACAGTTTATCTTCCCAGGTGAGTTCTTCTAACCTTCAGGTTCCATTTCTGCTGAAATTTCCGCCTCGCCTTTCTTGCACATGGAACCCCCATTTTCCGAGTAATTTAATTTTTTTCTGCATGTAGCATTGAAACTGTGCCTCTGCTCACATGAACAAATGGTTTCTTTCCTTCACTGGACAATGTCGCTTAAACTCTTATTTTTATAATGCATGCATCATAACCAACCTTTTAGGTGTAATAATCCACAAACCAAACTGACTGTGCAGCTCATATTCTGTATCGATAGTATAAGCACATGGTGGTGATATTTGGGTGTGTGTGTGGGACTAAATGTCCCATCATCTCTGCCCATGTTGGCTGTGGGTGATGGAAGTTGGAATCCACACATCTCTGGTCCTCCAAAGCTTTGATACGGGGCCTTAGGTCAACAGAGAGGAAATTGGATCAGGAAATTCAGCCAGATTTGTGATCTTTGGAGATAAAGGCATCTTTTAAAAGGGGGATACCTTCTGTTTTTAGTTTTATCCGTATGAGAGCACAACACAGAACTAGAGTTAGACCCACTCAGATGACTGCGGGGTTGTGTCCTTAGGAGACAGTGTGGATATGAACAGTGACCTGGCCTCACATGGATTTGGCAGACATACGGAAATGCACCAGAGTATTCCAGGGACCTGGAATCCTGCACACCACTCCTCGGATCCTTTTCCGACCCTTACCCTCTGCTTTCTGAGGATGCAAGAAGTCTGACTGAGGAGCGGAGTGGTGGTAGAATCTGGGGAGTTTGTAAAGATCTGGAAGGTGTGGAAAGATCTCTCCATCCATGGAACATCCTGTTGCAGTGACAACCGGAATTCTGACCCAGCAGAAGCTGGATTCTGTGACCCTGTACAAATTGAATTATTCTGCAGAGGGTTACTTATGTTTCTCTGATTCTGCTGTTGGCTTAATGTTGTGCTGTCCACGGCTTGCACATGTGGTGTGATTCAGAAAGAGAATGAAATAGAGGGGGAAAGGTGGGACCAGCAGGCGTGGGACAGACCAATTCAGTCCTGTTGAAGTGACTTTTTTCCTATGTGGATTCACAGCCCTTCCTGGGAAAAAATCCTCCACTTTCCCACTAGAACAACCCCACTGGTGCACTGGTGAAAACTTTAGCCCCCTCAGGTGGGCAGCCAAAAAGCCGCCACTAATTGTAAGCCAGGCCCGATTTGATGCTGGTTCTTTGTAGGAACTTAAGGTAGCTTAAGTCCTGGGTCCATCTAGCCAGTTTTGTTGACACTGGCTGGCAGCAGCTCTCCAGGACTGGAAATAAGATTTCTCCCAGCCCTTCCCGGGGATCAAACCTGGTGTCTTCTGCATGCCAAGCAGATGTCTTGCCACACTGAGCCCACAGGCTTTCTAGAAACTCCAACAGAGATTGGATCGTGGGCAGAAAAGAAAGGTCTGTGGTTCCGTGGATGCATGGCATGCATGCCATTTCTGGAAGAATCCATGGCATTCCCAGTGAAAAGACCTTTCCTTGACTCAGGATCAAGACAGCAGAAGACAGCAGAAAGCAGAAAATCTTGGGCAAGATAAACAACTATTCTGAGTTGCTGGAAGGCTTTCCTGTTACCAGCAAATAGTTTTGCCCACCTGTCTCGCTTAGTATAGAACAGGGGTCGGCAACCTGTGGCTCTGGAGCCGCACGTGGATCTTGAACCCCTCTGCTCCCCGGCTGATCTGCTCCAAGGAAGCTCCACTCAGGAACGCAGGGCTAGCTAGTTAATTAAATCAGCTAGTTAAGTAAATCGCTACATTCCTCTGTTTAAACAAGCTTCCTGCAGGCTCTCATGTTACAGGAAAAGATTCCCTTTGTCCCAATGTAATCTCCTTCGTCTGAATGTTAAAAGCTGAGACCTGTCACAATTCACAGCACTTGACTGTTTATCTGCTAATCGGTCACTAAACACACCTATATCTCCTCGTATCCCGCGCTCTCCCCACACCCCCATAGGCCAACCATGGATAAAGCGAAGAAAAGTTTCTGAGGAAAACCAAACGTTTAATGATACGTGGGCAGATTCATTTGCTTTTACTGCTGACGGACTTATGGGGTTTGCTGTTTTATGCATGCAGCCCTTTAGCACTGACTTTGACTCTTCAGGAAGCTGTTCTCCTGTTCAAAATATATGAAACGAGTCCTACTAGTTTATAACGTAAGGTTAAAAATAACAGTTTTTAGTGACTGAACAAGAGCTGCAGCTAAATCATAATGAAGATATACCTAGCATTAAGGTAAAAAATGATATATGCAGTGTTACCTTCATTTTAGATGTCAAAAGGGTTTTGCGGCTCCCGGTGTTTTCTTTTGTGTGGGAAACGGGTCCAAATGGCTCTTTGAGTGTTAAAGGTTGCCGACCCCTGGTGTAGAATTACTGATATTTCATGATAGGGTGTCCAACCTGCTGTCCAGCGGTGTGTAAAATTGTAGTTCTCTAAGGGAAGGTATCGATTTCTTCATGCGTGTTGAGGTCTCTTAGAACAGAACCTCTCCAATCTGCAGCTGGGTGTGACTCCCACAGTGGGATGCTCACTTGTGTAAAGAAAGAAGCTGCCCATGGAAAGCTTTCATTGTTTTCCACTCTGCTGGGAGCCTAGTTTTCTACTTGCGGGGAGCTTAGCTTTCCACTTGCAGGGAAGGATGTGCTAGATGTGACTCTCCACATTGAAGTGGTCTACCATGTACAGGTACATTGATCTGTAGCTTGATTTAGCAAACTGTTTCTTGGCTGAGTGTTACTAAAAAGAACTGAAGCTTGAGACTTGTAAACTTCATTCTTTTTTTTATTTTCCACTTTTTTGTAGAAATTCCCAATATCCCGCATGTAACACAGCCTCCTGAAAGTACTGAAAGTACTAAGTAAGTCTGTCTTTGTTTCTATTATCAATCAAAACAACTCTTGGAAAGTCTTTTCCCTTTCCCCAGAGCAGCAATGAATTTGGCATGGCCTTCCAAAAAGGTCCTACAGTGCTTGACAAGCCCCAGAAACTTTTCGAGGGCTTTCTTTGTGGAGGCAGTTGCCGAAACAACACAGCCGGTCCTTTTGCAGGCTTTATCCCAATTTCCTGTGAGGAATTTGGATGCTGGAAGGCGCTAGGGCAAATGCTTTTGATCTAGCTTATAGAAGAGATGGTCGTGAAAACTATAGAGTGCAGCCTTCCCACAAAGCTTGCATTGTTGGGAGTTGGCAACAGCAACAACAACAACCCTCACAGACCATCCAGGTGAAGCAGTCAAAGTTGGTCTGAAGACCTTCTAAAGTGGTCTTCTATAAAATGTTGAAAAATGGGGGGACTGTTAGCTAACCCCTAGGGCATGACCCCATATTCAGATTGTCCATCTTGGGTTTGGAAAGCAGTCTTCTAGAAGCCAACATAGATTCCTCCAGAACACATCCTGCCACGCTGATCTGATTTTGTTTTCCGATTGGGGAACCTCCCTGATGGACTGTGGGAATGTGGACATAATCTATCTTGACTTCAGCAAAGCTTTTGACAAGTGCCCCAGGATCTCCTGATGTGCAAACTTAGCTAAAAGTGGGCTGGATGGAACAACCCTTAGGTGGATCCACAGTTGGCTACAAAATTGGACTCAAAGAGAACTCCTCTATGGCACCTGCTCAAACTGGGAAGAGGTAATAGGTTGGATTCTGTGATGGAGGAATTCCAAGCAGGTACATGTTTTCTGGCTCATCCGAATCCTCCCAATGGCTTCCAATTTGCAGGCATCACCGAGTCACTCAAAGGAGGGCAACTAGCTCTTGCACTGGGCATGCTAGTCCTAAATCTCGTGGCCCAGTGCCTCCAACTATTGAGCCGTATGGGCAACCTCCTTCGGCCACAAGTCTTGGGTCAGAAGTGAAACTCCGCAGGTACAATGTCATGCACTCCGCAGGTACAATGTCATGCACATTATTCCGCAGGAGTTCATTTGCCACTAAATAGAAGGACGCCCAGTTGGGGTTCTGACTGGGTGAGGACAGCTGCACGTTTTTCCTGCTTGCCTTCATACTTCTCGGGAAGACTGCTGGAGCAACAGGCAGGAATATGGGAGTCACTGGCACACAACCTGTACGTTGTAAAACATTTACAGCCCCCATCTGCCCAGTAACCTGGTTGTACACAGTTTGGTTTTTTGAACTGGGTGCTCGCCTACTTCTCCCTTGGCCAGCCATTTCCATCTTCATGGTGGAGCTGGGCATACGAGGTGAAAGCTGAGGAAACACCTCTCCGTTTGCTGCTGTTTGGGTCTGGAAACAGGCTGTTGGAACCTGACTCCTTGGAGCTGAGGCAGAAGACTCAATAAAAGCTTTTATGGCCGTCATTCCCGTAATTAGCCATGCTTGTTCAATCCCAGTAAAGACTGCTGCTAACAAGATCCGCAGCGAGTTGCTAGACAAGAATGAGCTCACAGGCTTGACAACAAAGACCCAACTTGCCCTGAGCAAATCTGAAGACGCTCACCATTCAGAGAAAGCAAGAGGATTCCAAGTCCCGGTGTTGCCTTTCTGGCAAAGTTTACTGTTGTTTATTCTGGCTCAAATACAAGCCGGTGGTGGCCGAATGTCAGGACTGGACATGTGATCCTGGCAGGGAAACCTCTCAAGCAGGAGATGGAAAGAGAGGAAATAGCTGCTCTCCTTTTTCATTTTAGCTCCGTCCATCACCCTTGGCAGAAACCAGTTTCTCTAGCGCTGGCCTACAGTTGTTGTTGTTGTTGTTAGTTGCGAAGTTGTGTCTGACCCACTGCGACCCCATGGACAACACTCCTCCAGGCCTTCCTGTCTTCCACCTTCCCCCAGAGTCCACCCAAGCTCACATCAACTGCTTCAGGGACTCCATCCAGCCACCTCATCCTCTGCCGTCCCCTTCTTCTTTTGCCCTCAATCCTTCCCAGCATCAGGCTCTTCTCCTGTGAGTCCTTCCTTCTCATTAGGTGGCCAAAGTATTTGAGCTTCATCCTCAGTATCTGGCCTTCCAAAGAGCAGTCAGGGCTGATCTCCTCTAGGACTGACCGGTTGATTGCCTTGCTGTCCAAGGGACTCGCAGGAGTCTCCTCCAGCACCGCAATTCAAAGGCCTCAATCCTTCGGTGCTCAGCCTTCCTTATGGTCCAGCTTTCACAGCCATGCATTGCAACTGGGAAAACCACAGCCTTGACTATATGCACTTTTGTCGGCAGGGTGATGTCTCTGCTTTTTTAGTACGCTCATTAAGCAAGATTCCAGGGTGCTGGTTTGTTTATCTGTTCATTGGCTTATATTTATCTTTGGGTTAATGCCTCCTAGCTTCAGCAATCTCTTGGTGGCAGTGCCTAACTAATTGTTAATCCTTGTGCCATCTTGCAATGTCAAATCGCTGCTCTTTTTTCTCTCATGAATAGTGTCGATGAACACCTAGAGATAGATGGCGTTGAAGAACGTGATACAGAGGTGAGTTCCTGCTTGTTTAGGATGCAATTCTGTTTAATTTCTGTGCTATACAATTTTTTTAAAAACTTGTATGCCGTCCTTTATAGAAATATAAAGGCTTACAGCAATTTAAATCAGGACGGCTTACAGCAATTTAAAAGAACAATTTAAAAAAGCATCGATAACATCCAATAACAATTAAAACAATAGCACTGTGTAAAACAATAAATAAACATTGAATAAATCAGATTAATATCAAAACAAACAAGCAAAAGAGACTGCAAAACCATTAAAACTATGAATTTTTAAAATACGGCTTTAAAAAGGTTTTGACCTGGCACTGAGGAGAGTATAAGCTCGGCGCCAGGCGTACCTCTCTGGGGAGCGCATGCCAGAGTCTGGGGGCCACCGCAGAGGAGGCCCTGCTCTGAGTTGATTATCTTTTTACCTCTCCTAGAGAGGGTCCCCAGAGCAGTGCTTCTCCTGCAGAGAAGGGGCGTGAGGGTGTATAAGGAAGGAGACTTCTAATCTGTTAATTAGCATAGTAGCCAATAGGCCACAGAGCGAGAGCAGCTAAGACTGCTAAAGACTGACTGCAAGCTCCAGGGAAGGTTCAGTTGGTAGGAACAAAGAGCAGGGCCTTCTCAGTGGTGGGCCCCCAATTCTGGAAGCAAATTCAGACTGTCCTCCAATAAGAGGGCATTGAGTTAGCATTCATAGTATATTGGGGATTATACAAGGGGTTTTCAAAAACTTTCTGCACTTTTATATTTTATATTTCATAAATATATTTTATGTATTTTTTGCTGCTGGCATTAAAAAATTGGTACAACTCTCGGAAAAATGCACCACAAAGGAAAGTGACTCTGTAGAAAAACCAATGTAATTTGTTTTTGGAATTCTTAATAAACAGAGTTTAAAAAGTGCGGAAACTTTTTGAAGAACCCTTGTATTTTCAGCTTAACAGAACTTGTTATTTAATTTGTGTTAGCTATTGCATCTTTTTAAAACTTGGGTTTAAACTTGGGCTTTAAAGGTTGTTGCATAATTTTTATAATGTTTTTACTATTAACCGTGTCTTTATACTGTGTTAATACTGTATTCTATCTACTGCTGCAAGCCATCCAGAGAACTTCAGCTTGGGTGGTACAGAAATACAATTATTATTATATTAATTGAATTTATTGCAATGAAATGAATAATAACAGTAGGCATAGGGTCATGGTAAGCTGGAATGGAGACAGTCCAAAGAATGCCAAAATCGAACAGAACCCAGAAGAGAAGAATTCTGGGGCTGAAACTTCCATCACCAGCTTCGGCGACCTTTCTATTTCCAAGCACACGGAAGAGCAGGAAGCAAACAAGTCTGAAGTGGAGGATGACGAAGACGAAGTCGATGACCTTCCCAGCCGGCGCAGCCGCTGGCGGCGGATGATCTCGCGCAAGGCCAGCCAGACGAGCGTCTACCTGCAGGAGTGGGACATTCCATTTGAGCAGGTGGACCTGGGCGAGCCCATCGGCCAGGGCCGGTGGGGGAAGGTCTACCGAGGCAGGTGGCACGGGGAGGTCGCCATCCGATTGCTGGAGATCGACGGCAACAACCAAGACCACTTGAAGCTTTTTAAGAAGGAAGTGATGAATTACAGGCAAACGAGGCACGAGAATGTTGTGCTTTTCATGGGGGCCTGTATGAACCCCCCTCACCTGGCCATTATTACCAGGTAAGGCTCCTAAAGTTTTGTGTGTGACGTTCTGTATCAAATATTTCCTTGAGCCAATCTGACATACGCCCAAGTCCAGGAATGGGCATAGAGATTGCATGTTGTGAGCGGAGCCGGCTGGAGCCGGAGGTCAGACTAGATGGCCCGGGAGACCCCTTCTGACTCGCTCTGTTTCTATGTTAACAACTATCAGGCCAATGCGACTGCTGGATTAGCAGTATTGAAACGGTCATTTTAAAAAGTAGGTTTTCCATATTCTCAGTATTATAGATGTGTGTTTCGTTTTCTGTTGATTTTATTCTAAGCCTCTTTTGGGTTTTCTGTTTGGTTCCGGATATTTTTTATTTCAGTTTTATTTATTTTATTTAAAACTTTTATATACCGTCCCATCACTGACGTCTTGGGACGGTTTACAGTTTTGTTTTCCTGGTATAAAATTTTGCTATTTTGCCATGTATTTGCTTATTGTAAACCTCTTCAAGAGCTCACTTTAAAAAAAGGGAGTAAAACATTTTTGTAAATACCTTACAAATTAGTCACAAGTTAGAATTTAGAAATCCTGGCAACAGAGTTATGGTTATCCAGAACCAGGGTTTGCAAAGTCTTATGACAAGGTTGTATGTATAGAGGTTGTTTGTGTTTCAAGATTCAAAACTCTCTCCTTTGATGGTCTTTTTATGGATTCTGGGAGCTGCTCCATGTGATGGAGAAATATGAAAGGATCTGGTTGCCCTGAAATCATTCCCCAGCTCCTCACAAAAAGAAATTGTAAGGGCTGATTTGAGATTCCTTCCTGATGTATTTGTCTAATCATCTGTCTTAGCTTCTGCAAAGGAAGAACACTTCACTCTGTTGTAAGGGATCCCAAAATACCCTTGGATATTAATATGACCAGGCAGATCGCTCAGGAAATCATTAAGGTAAGAGGCATCTTGCACAGTGATCAGACGTAAGCAGCAGTGTGGCAAAGCATCCACAGTCCGCGAGTCCATATCTGCTGGCGCTCAAGAATGGGGGCTCTCTGGTCATGGGGTGGCGGTTGTGTTTAATGCCTGCATTGGTGGCTCTTCCAGGGCATGGGGTACCTTCACGCCAAAGGGATCGTACACAAAGATCTGAAATCCAAGAACGTTTTCTATGAAAACGGCAAAGTGGTCATCACGGACTTCGGCTTGTTTGGCATTTCTGGCGTGGTTCAGGAAGGGAGGTAAGTCTCTTGTGATAAGCATCTCTTGCACTTCCTTGTCGCTGCTGTGCAGGTTGCCTGCAGACAAAGAGACTTGTTATTGTCTATGTAAAATGGTTAATTGCCTTGCAAATGGACAAGGAAGATTTTTTTTTAAGTATCGGAGCTAAATGAGGTTTTCACAAGCTTGCTTTCTTTCGGTGGCACTGGAATACCCAAAATGCAGACTTTTTTCCCCGTGGTTTTCCTGCCAGTAACTCGGCATGTCATCAGCATGTGTGGAAAGTTGTATGCATTACTTAGAGATCCTTGCACGTATATTAAAGAAGGAAATAATGAAAAGAACAGGAGTCCATTTTTTAAAGGAAAGGAGGGCCTGCAGAGCCCACACTGGTGACTCCCTTGCGGGCACCGTTGGAGGTCCCCTTGAGCACCGTGGTGATTGTGGGGGCCTCACTTTGGGCCCCAGTTCCGCCAGCTGCAGCAGGTGTGTGGCTCTGAGCTCCCATCCTTTCCTGTCCCTCTCTCCAATGCCAGGCGTGAAAACGAGCTGAAACTGCCCCACGACTGGTTGTGCTACTTGGCCCCAGAGATTGTGCGTGAGATGGCTCCAGGGAAGGATGAAGACAAGCTCCCGTTCTCCAAAGCGGCCGACGTCTATGCTTTTGGGTAAGCTCGGCAAAGGAACCGCAGTGCGCTTTCCTTACGGGGATTTCCCTCTGCCTGCAGAAGCGTGTGAAGCAGCCTGCTGGAGAAGACTTCCCAGCAGCCTTGAATTGCAGAAAGGTGGGGTAGACTGATCTAGCTTCCCAAATGCACTGGTATTCCATTTTTATCTTTTTTATTTGCATTCTGCACTTTGCATTCTGCACTGAATTGCATTTCTGCCCTGCCTTTCTTCCTCTTGAAAAGAATCCAAGGCAGCGGACAAGGTTCTCCTCTCCATTTTCTCCTCACAACCACCACCCTGTGAGGGAGGATGAGAGTCAGTGGCTGGCCCAAAGTCACCCAGTGAGCTCCATGGCTGAGTGAGGACTAGAACCTGGGTTCTGTGGACCCAGCCCAATGCCTCTAACCACTAGGCCACTTTTACTCTCGTCATATTCTATCGGTGTCACTGCAGATGTGCTGAGCCACAACTCACACAGCCAATGGCGAGGCATGGCTGGGGATACTGGGTGTTGCAGTGGGATGCACCTGGAAGGGTCCAGGATTGGGATATATATATCCTGACAACACGTTTTGTTCTTTTTAGTCCATTCTGTGGAATGACAGCTCCCTTCCTTTCTGTCTCCCCTTGCTGCCTCGTGAGTTCAGTGAACTTTTTGCGGAGTGCGGCCATGTTCTTTAGCCTTCCTCAGAGCTATTAAGCCTTTCAAACAGGGTGGGAAAGCTAACAAGCTTCCAGTACACAGCAGAGCAAATGTATTTCCCCTTTTTCTGAAGAGCACTTCTGAAAATATTTAAAGCCGCTCTGGCATCAGCTTAGCGCTTAGTCACAAAGCCACGCTCCACTTCCTTTTCCCATGGGCTAAAAAAACAAGCTCAGAGGTCACCAAATGGCTTTCTGAAATGCTGTGTTTCCTCACGGCTCCCTTGCTGCTTAAAACACGATTTCAGCAGCCGCTCGGCCGACTCCATGCCAGTAATATGAAAGCCTTCCATAATGCTTAGCGTGACGTTGGATGCATTGGTGCAGCTTTGACCGAACAAGAACCCGGTGGGGAATGAGTGAGTTGAAGTCTTGGCACCTCCGGTGGGTCCCACACACTTGCAGAGAGAACAGTTCGGCTCGTTATTGCTGCTTCCTGTCCTGAATCAGGCTGATTTTCCATGTTGGCTTTTACTAAAAAGCTGTCAAGGGACGAAACGAAGCTGCAGAGCCGGGCACCTGCCTTCCTCCGCTGTTAGACTACAATTCCCATTATGCCTCATCACTGGCAGATGTATCTGGGGAGCCCCGTCTCTTTCCAATCCCTGGCCTAAAACAAATTACAGCCAGTATCGGCATCCAGTTTTAATTTTGCTACTGGGGCTATCAACTTCTAGTCTTTTTTCTGCCTCTGAGATTTACTCTTGACAGTGTAAGCAGGGCGATTCAGACTTCAAGCGGCACTGTCCCGAAGCTTTCCCCCCTCACAGAATAGGGATGGAGGACTGTTTTCTGGCCCATGGGGCAGATTTTTGTTTTGCAGAATGGTTTAGCTCGGCTGAAAGAGGCAGCAGGGTTGGACATCCTACTTGAAAGTAAGCATGGAGGGGATCCTAGTCAGAGCTGAACTGGGCAAGTCTTTGCGGGACGCAGCTGAGAAGGAAGGGGAGCCCACGGCAAGGAGCTCTTTCCTCCAAACCACAGTGCTTTCCTTCTCTCCGCATTTGGGAAGCCTTTGGGAGCTTTCTCGGAATTAAGCTGGGAGAAGAAGCCAGGACCAAGGGGAAGGGGTTTCCAGTCCTGGTATAAAGAACACCTTGGACCTTATTTTGGACTAGCAACCTCAGCCACTCAGAATCAACCCTATACTATTTTTAGAGTCTTAAGCCTAACAGTGGCCTAGGCCAACCCAAGGTTGTTTCCTCATCAATCAATCCATCCATCAATCCATAGCCGAAGTTCTCTGGGTGATTTGCAACAGTCCCATCGGGTGATGGAATGTCTGTGTTCGCTCTGATAGGAACTGAAGTGGTGTTCCAGCAGCTTCCCCTGACCTGGTTTTGGGATCCATCAGCCCCAGGCAGCATGGCCAGTAGTTGCGGATGATGGGCATTGGAGTGCACGATAGCTGGAGGGCTCGTGCTTGGGAAAGGCTGGGATAGAGCATCCAGTCAAGACAGTTGTGATCCTGGTTCATATCCCCACTCAGCCATGAAATCCTCGGGTTAACTTTGGTCCTTTGGTTTCAGCCTGACTTTGCAGGATGGTTTTATTCATTCATTCAAACTTTTTTATGCATGACGTCTCAGATAAGATAAGCGGGAAGGCATGTGAACTCCTATAGAAAGAAGGGTGGGGGTAGAAATGGAATCTAATATTTTGACCGTGTATTTTGCACTTTACGCAAAGCTTGACTCCTTAATACCTCTTGGCTTCCCAGGACTGTGTGGTACGAGCTCCAGGCCAGAGAATGGCCTTTTAAACGCCAGCCAGCTGAAGCGTTGATCTGGCAGATCGGGAGTGGCGAAGGCATGAAGCAAGTCCTTGCAGCAAGCAACTTCGGGAAAGAAGTTGGCGTAAGTGGGACAGATCCTCTCATGAGTCGCAATGCTACCTCCACATCCCCATCACCTCTCAGTTTCTCCTTTCCCGGGACTCCCATTGAACTCTGGGAGCTGTAGTTCTGTTCTGCTTTCGTCCCCCCGGTACTCCTACTGTAAGCCGAGTCGTTGAGCCTGTGGTCATTTTTAAGCTTTAAAAGAAGCTTACAGAAGATTCGATATGCTGTACCCCACACAATTTGACAAGGACTGAATATTGCCTTGAACAGTGGCTGTTGAACTGTTGGTCATTACCTTGTCTGAACCAGCTGTGCTAATAAGACATGGCTTGTTAACTGCAAACAACCCATGAAGAGAATCCACAGTTTGTGGTTGGGTGGGGAACTGTTACCCATGGTTAGTTATCTCAGCTGGGTTCAGACAAGCCATGCTTCAATGACAACCCTCATTCAACTCCTATACAACCCTTGAGTGTACATTATCATGTTGGCTGAACCCGCTGAAGTTTGAACTCCATCCTGTGCACCCATCTCGTGGCTGTCTTTCTATACAAGCCCAGAACGGTGCTCTGTAACTGGGAGTAGCAAACTAAAACTGAGCTCTGGAGAACTGGAGGTCTAGGCTAGCCTTGATTTCTCAGTAACACAGCATCCAGCACTGATAGCCAAACTCTTTGCAATGACCTCTTTCCAGCAACCTGAGAAACCAGTCTCTAAAACGGAGGTGAGGAACCTCAGCTCAGGGGTCCCAGAGTTCCACAGATGGTCATACCTCCTTCCCAAGGCCCCACACCCTCTCCCCTGACTGCCAATCAATGCCCAACGTCCCAGATTTCGTGCCGTTCCTCCCCCATTCTAAACACTTGAAATGCCTCTCTTAAAGCTTAGGTACTGGCAGTAAGAATGTTTAGCTACAATAATTATATATATACACCATCCATCAGCCAGAAGGCTCTCTGGATGGTTCACAACATTTCAAATATGCAACAGATCAGAATAATAAACAGCAATATATAATCAGTAATGTATAGAATCTAACAAAAATAATACATTATGTAGAATAGCAACAAAATCCAAGTAAGTTATTTTCATTTTGGGGGGCTTCACGTTTGCCCTCCCTGCTACCAAGAGGGTCCCCAAGAGCCCCTCTGAAATACGACTTGCTGTTCAACTAAAAGAGGTTCAACTTTACTTCCATATTGATGGACTTTGGGGCTCCCTCTTTCCAAATGGCCTGTGTCTCCCCTCTTAGGATATCCTGTCGGCCTGTTGGTCCTTCGATGTCAGTGAGCGTCCCAGCTTCCCGCTTCTGATGGAAATGCTGGAAAAATTGCGGAAGCTCAACCGGAGGCTTTCTCATCCGGGGCACTTCTGGAAATCAGCTGAGTACGTATTCACCTGCATCTGCCTCTCCTTGTGTCCGAGCTGCTTTTGGCCTTTACGCTTTCCTGCTTCTAGGTTGCTAACTTGGCAGAGGTGGATTCAACCAATGCTATGTATGTTCCCCCTCCCCTGTCAGTGGGGCTTAAGTGCGAGATTCATCCCCCTGCCGCAAAAATCCCCGTGCAGTTTCTTTCGCTCAGTGTGGGTTCCCAGTAAGTTCCTGGTTACATCCGTCTGATGCCTCAAAGCATATCCAGGCCAGCAACTGATTGTGCTTGCAAGACCGAACGCTTGTGCAATGCTGCTTTTGCCAAAACAAGCAGAAATTTTCCCTGGAAAAGGCTGGTCAGCAGAACTTGTGGAAAGGAACTCTCCTAACCTGTCCCAACGTGGAAATAACAGTTTGCACCCATTTCTGGGGACAGTTAGAAGTGCACAAGGCCTATTGTGCAGGCAGTGGGTCCCGTAGGTGCTGCTGGTTATTGCCCTTCAAGACTAACACGTCTTCTGGCAGAAGCTTTGGAGGACTAGATGTGGAAAGGGTTGCTCTCTTAGTAACCATGCATTCATGTGTTTGTGGGGGCACTGGAAGAGAGAAGTCAGGAGTGACTCAGAGGAAATGTGGGGCCGAAAGGATAGAGCATGACAATCTCAAGGCACAGATTTGGAAAGAAAAAGGGCTCACAATTGCCAGAATGCCCAGTCAAAATCCTGGTCTAGGTAATCGGATTACAACAGAAGCCGTCAAGTCTGGTCAGACAGAGTGGAAATCTATCAGTCTTGTGAAGACATTTGTTCTGGTAGAAACCTCTGTCTTTTGAACATCTGTCTATATATTTAAAGCTGTGTGTCTTAGCAAAAGTGTCTTCACCAGGCACCAAAATCAGAGTCAAGCAGCAGGGAGTTCCTTAGATAGGGAGCCAGTTTTCCAAAGCTGGGTGGGCACTCTGAGTGGACCCCAAAGGGACAGCAGATGCAAACAGCAAACTGTTCTTAATACCACTTCTGCCTCTGCCTCTGCCTCTGCCTCTGCCTCTGCCTCTGCCTCTGCCTCTGCCTCTGCCTCTGCCTCTCTCTCTCTCTCTCTCTCTCTCTCTCTCTCTCTCTCTCTCTCTCTCTCTCTCAAATGCATGCATGCAAACACAAATTCCTTCTAACTTGTAACTCGACCATCTTACGAAATGAACTCTACTCCGCAAAGCCTCTGCTGTGATGAAGGCACTCATTTCCAAGGCAGGCGCAGGCGTGAGCACCTTGTATTCCCCCCGGCTAATTTCACTCGGCCTTTGGCCTACTTTCCAAAGCCATCTGCCAAAGATTAGTTCAGACCTTTGGCAGGCGTGATCGTGATCCGTCCTTCCTAGCAGCCGGCTCAGTGGAGCGGGAATGGGGTGGGAAGAGAGAGCGAGCAGTGGGTGCCTGGGCGGACAGAAAGGGGTTGCCGAATGCGAGGGAAGGCGGAAAAAAGGGGTTCCCTTGCTTGTGCTGCCCTCTCCAGGTTGTTGCCTTCATCCCTGCACAAGGCCTGCCTACATCTCCAAAACGAGCGGATGCTGGCCACCGCTGGTTTAAGAGGCCCAGTTATTTTTGTTGCGACAAGCGAATGCCGGGGCTTTGGGGTGGAGCTTTGCCTCTTCTCCCTCTGCTTGTTTCTTAGTTTCCTGCCAACTTCCAAAAAGTCACGATAACAATTAATGGGTTTCTATCTGGCCCTTTTCCCTTTTGTAAGGAATCCAAGGTGGCATATAGAACTTCCTCCCCCTCTCTGCCTTATCCTCACAACAACCCTGTGAGGTGGACTAGGCTGAAAGCCAAAATCACCCAGAGTTTCATGGCTGAGTAGGGCCTAGAACTTGGATCTCCCAAGTCCCAGTACAAGACCCTAACTAGTGCACCCCTTGTGGGTTCAAATGTGCCACAACATTCAGCTAGAAATTTGGGAGGCAGAGAAAGAGCTGAAAGGTGTGCCTGTTTAGGAAGGAGACAGTCTTCCATGCTAGCTGGGGAATGTTGGGAGTTGTGCAACTTTATTTTCTCTAAATGTGAAGAGGGCCCCAGCTTTGTTCACAGAGACCCAGGAATCCAGAGATAAATTGAGGGCAGGGAATAATATGTTGAAACAATGCACTGGTTTGCTTCCCGCTGCTGACTTGGGCCGGTTTAACTGCAAGTGCAAACTAACATAGCTTTCTTGTGTGTGTTTGTCCCCCCACCTCTCTGTTTTTGTCTTCCGCCCTCCTGTCTTCTAGGTTGTAGCTACTGATGCGATAACTCGATTCTGCCTTGCACGCTTTCCTTCTCTCCTAACTTGCTCCACCACTTGGACAACACTTAATACAGTGCGCACACACACACACACACACACTCCTTTTAACCCTTGCACTCTCCCAGTGCTTCTATGAATTCTTGTTTCCTGCCTCTCCTCTTGGTGTGGGCTGCTAACCGCAATGACTATTCCTGTCTGTGGGAATTGGGCACCTATTAACACCCGGCACGGACTCAGTTCTCTTCCGCTGAAGCATGTTTGACCACCGGCTGCGACACTTGCCAGTCCTTCTTCGAGTTGGCCCCCTGGCTCTTTTTCTCAGCTCCTACAACCAGGTGTAAGCTAAACAGACGGAAAAACCAACCAACAACCCATGCACTTCCCTCTTGGTCGCCCAGCGAAAGAACCTTAAAAGATGCTGCCTGTTCTTAAAATTGTCACAGCTTCAGTTGGGACAATGATTGCTGGGTGTCCCTCCGCTCTTCCAAAAGATGAATTAAAATCAGGGTTTTTTCCCCAAATAAAGAAATCTGGGAGGATTGTCTTGTATTAATTTTAGGCACTTAATTGTTGAATTGATTAATTTGGCCTGTGATTGCATGGAAGTAAAAGAATACTGATGATTACTTATTATTTATAATAACATACGCTCAATTTATTATTTTTATCATTTCATAATTCTCTAGTTTTATTAAAGACAACTGCAGTGTGTTGCTTTTTGTTTTGGAAATGAAAGCCCAACTTGATGATCTTCCACTTGGATTTTTGTGCATACATTCAGAACATAATTGATTCTTACTCCTGTTTTCCTCCCTTCCCCCTTTCCTACCCCTAACCTTCTCCTTTCACATTAACAGTAGCAAAGTTGTCATCCGGTTTGAACGATTTCCCTTGGGAGATTTGGAATCCAGTAATCAAAAGATTTAGCTTGGCGTGTTTGGGCCATTATATGTGATTGGTGTCTGTATCACTTGCAAAACGGTTCTGGGACTGCCATGGATTTTCCAAATAATGGAAAAAGTGTGTTGTGACCTCACCGTGGGTTACCAGCAAGACTTCATTTAGACTCTGGTAACATTTGCTTATGAAGTTTTGCATCAGCAACTTTACAAAATGTTTACATTCTGACTCCCTTTTCCCCGTGTGAATTATATTTTTGCCAGTTGATAATGAATGTGACCGGAGGCTTTTTATTTAAAAAAATCTGTACTTTTTCCTCTTCAAATGTTCCAGCGGCACTGTTTAAGCGACCTGATGATAAATCTTGGTTTCATCTATGGAGAAGCAGTGGTTTTTCGTTTTGCCCAGAAAATGCCCCACCCTTTTGAAGTGAATCCCTTAGGGATTGTCTACACAAAATATTTAAACTGGTTCAAAACTGCCTGAACTGTCTCAGCTTGTCCTTTGAAGAACTCTTGGAATTGTTGCTTTTGTGAAGACCTGGAATATCCCTTTTCAGAAACACACACCTTTTCCCATCTATGTTTGAAAACTGCAACTGTTTGAAAGTATTTCTTGTATGGAAACTCGTGTACAATATCTGTTTCGCTCAGAAGCTGCTTGAAAAGAAGAGAGAGAGACCTTGTGATGGCTTTGGATTGTGTAACGAGGTTTCACATGTGAAATTTAGTGATTCACCTAGATGTTGTCAACTTGGTTGAGAATGCCTGTATCTTTTTTTTGAACAAGATTCTACCTCTGTTTCTTCTCTTCTGAACCTAGTTTTGGGATGGGACTCAGCTTGGCTAGTGGTCAGGGATGATAGGAGTTGCAGTCCAACAATATCTTGGGGGCGCCTGGTTCCTTCCTCCTCAAGGATTCTCTGAACTTCCCTGCTCAGACTCGGTCTGTTCCAGCCCAAAATATTTTATGAGCATCATAACGATGAAGCTCAATTTCTTGGCTTTGTCTAATTTGAAGTGCAGGATTTGGTGTGGCTGTGTTCAGTGACTTTTCTTTTATGCATAGGATTTCAATATTTCTGATTTTTCTTTGAGCATCTAGGAAGTGTGTGCAGCAGAAAAAGGGTTTTTTTCAGCCAGGTGGGCACTTATTCCATTGATAACCCCTCTGACACGGTATAAGTGAAATGTGTTTCACACCAAGTGATCCAAGAGGCAAGGAAAAGAGGTTGCGATCCACACGTGGCCCTGTCAGCACAAGGAGAAGGTGGAAAGCTTGCAAGATTTTCTACACGAGGCTATAAATGGCTAGATCTACTCAGCATTGCCCCAGCTTTGGGATCCAAGCTCTGTACTTCCACGTTCAGCTTTCCTGCTTGCCCATCCCCTAAATGGAGTTGTGCCAAAGCAGAAAAATGCAAATATACCGGGAGAAGGGAGCACCATTTTCCCTGTTGTAATTTAATACCCTTCCCCCCACTTTAACAATAATAATAAGCTTGGAAAGTGTTGTGAAAAAGTCCCAAGCAAAATGGAAGGATTGCAGTGTTTTCTCAAGAACCCATAAATAGCAGTGCTTAACCTGCTCCTCTTCCAGACAAAACCATTCCAGAATCTGCAGGGTGTGAAGTGGCATCACACCTTGTCACAGTGTAAATGCAACTTTGGAAAAGGGGACAGCTGGAGCCTGAAGGACTAGATGGCTGCTTTTGGTTTGACTTCATGCTGCATTCTTGATTGTGCTTGAAGCATTGAAAGGGGAACATAATTCTGTGTTGACTGGAGAGAGTCGTATCTTCCCAGTGAAAGTGTTGTTAAGCAGAACCTCCAGCCAAAAAGAGAATTTAAAAGTGGTAGCTTGACACTGGGGAAAAACCAGATGATGTGGCAATAAGGGAACCTGCTTTTCTTTGCCCATTCCAAGTTTTCTTTTTTGGGATAGGCAGAAAAGGTGTTTTCTATTTCCTGCAATACAGGAAGAGACTGTGGAGTTGCTAAAAGTCGCAGGGGTTTTGTCGGGTGTCCAAAAATGGCCCTCTGATGTCATCCTGGTTTGTCAACAGTTTATCTGACATATGCAAGCTTTCCTATTTCAGGAGAATACTTCTGCACTCGAGGCCAGTTCTTGCTTAGGTGTCGGACACGTGCAGGGCAATTAGAGGATTGGATGCTGCTTTTAGGTCTATGAACATGCTCTGCAAATAGAAAACTGCCAGGGGAAACAGTGCCCAGCTTTTCTTCACCTTGACATGCTCCATTTCTAGAAGCGGGGAATTGGAGGAATGTATGTTGTGGCAGCTGGCTGTGATGTGTGCAAGTCACTCCATGGCCCCCATCCTAGAGTGAGTTGACCTTCTTGCCACCGCTTTCATTAGCTTCTTTTGCTCCTTGTTCTCTTGCTTGTCAGGTTCCCCGCTTGCCTGCTTGCCTGCAAGGGGATCAGGGTCCTCACCACCACCAGATCGGGGCCAGGGCAAGAGACAGGGCAACAAGCAGGTTGTATTTGCAAGGAGCAGCAAGCCAAACTCTGATGCGGGTCTTTGCAGGGTGTGGGCTTCCTTCTAGGGCCCTGAAGGCTGGAAGTCATTCTAGTGTTGGGTGTGGACACAAGGGACCATCAGCCATGCTTCAGAAGCTGAGGAAGCCTTTCCAGAGGAGAAGGACCCTCCTTGATGGACACCCATGAAGAACCGAGACTGTATCATGCCACAGACACCTTCCCCCCTGTCTGACGTGGTGCAGCCAAACCGGGACATAGCAAGTGAACTGTGGTCCTTTGTGGGATGTTCAGGCCAGTTTCGGGGGGGCTAATCTCCCACCCCCGTGCGCTGACTCACCGCTGAACCAGCCTGTGTGTGTTTTGTGGGTTCTCTTCCTCTTGGAGTGCCGGGTCTTCTGGAGACCTCACCACCCCTAATATACACAGACCCACTCACACTGCAAAGGGTCAGCGCAGTGGGTTTTGCCTGCATTGGCTTCGTTGCTCAGACCACGTGGATGCAACGGCCTTGCAGTTGTCAGTTCTGTAGTGCCACGGGAGCGGTTGTGAAGCCAGTGGAGCCTCGTGGCCACAATCCGTGGCCCCAGTTGGCAATCCTGTCTCAGCTTAAGAAGCCCAGATACATACCATCCATGATCCAGAGCGTGCTGCTGGGTCCTCCTTGGTGAGCCTCAGTGTGAACCCATGATCCACAAATTAGCCATTGTTGTCCTTGGCCGTGGCCGGAGGGACAAGATCTTATGCCTATTTCATGCCTTGGTTTTAAATCCTAATGTGTTTTGAAGCTGAGAATGAAACTTTCCCAGTTCAGATGGTCACTTGGTTCCCTGAGGAAGGAAGAGGTGGTGCGTTTGTGCCTGAGACACCCTCATGTTTCTATTCCTTAAACCAAGATAGGATCTTCCAGACCAAGCCATTGTTCTCCACCCCAAGCTTTCAAACAATGTCTCCCCTTCAGAAACATTTCCTTCCATTCGACTTACGGTTGAATCCTAATTAGCTGCATCTGCGCCCTTCTGGTTTCTCTGGAACTTGGCAGGACTCCGTTGAATAAGCTTCGCAAACGCAGTGCCTGGAGCTTTCCAGGTGGCTTGGATGGCACCTCCTAGCATGCTGGTTGGAGGGGACTGATGGGAGCTGTAGTGCACAGGTTTTGGAGGGCACCAACTCCGGGAAGAGTGGCAGAGCATTTCTTGGCCGCTGCTTTCGTAGGCTCGTCAGTGCCAGCCACGTGCGTCCTTCATGGCCTCTTCTGAATGCCGTTTTGTGGAGCACTTCCTGCCTGCCAGGTTGCTCCCAGGTTGCGCGTGTGTTGGGTGTGTGGAATGTGACTCTGGGATGGATTAGTCCTGTTCACTGGGCCACTGCCATGAGGTTTAATCACAAAGATGTCTCCTAAGGTGAAGAGAAAGTTAGAGGAGAATCCAATATTATTCACCAGGGTTAGAGGCCTTGTATCCAGTTTGTCAACAGTAAGTGCGGCTGTTAATCGATACCGCACGCTTTGCTGCATCTGTCCGAGTCTTTTGCAACCCACGTTGTGTATCTGACTGCGCACACCCACACGCTTCTCGGTGCTTAGGAGGAAAAGATGGGAATATGCCTCTTTCTTCTCAATACCTGCTCTTTGACTGCCTCACCTATTTATCCCACCACTGTTAATAGAACTACCTTCCATAAATTCTGTCTGATCTTTTCTTAAAGCTATCAAAAGGTTTAAAAATTTGAAATCAGTTAATACAAAGTTCGACCCATCAGAAGATGCTCATGGCAATCCTGTCACCCCATCTCTGTTTACACTGGTGTCCTTTGAAGTCACTTTACTTCATGCTGGCAGGAGAAAGGGGAAGCTGTCCTGGTTTGTACCCGAATTGCTCTGGGAGTGTTGCATGATGAAAAGGGACCCGGCACCTATTAAGTTCCTAATTGTTTGTATCTATTCCTTCTCGTGGTGATTGTAAGGGAGTGAATTAGCACTGTGAGTCTGCATATTTTTGGTGTTGTACAAAATAAAAACCGTGCAGCTGTGTGTTAAGGGACTTCTTGGGCACAGCTTTAACTGTGTGTGTAAAATGAAGTCTGTAATATTGGTGAAAATGGACTTTTTTTCTTTTCAAATGTAATGTAAACTTTGTACAGTAAATATATATATAAATATATATAAATATATTTTCTATCAACTGAGTTTGTCTTCCAAAACAGCTATTAATTTAATTTAAAAATAGTATTAACAATGAGCGCTGCCGTTAGTTCAGGCCAACTGTTAAAAAAAATGAAACAAAGTACGTTCTATACTAATGAAATTCTGACTATTTGAGAATTCTTCTGTGTGAATAAAACTTTGCTCTGGATGAAGCAACGGAAGTTATGACTGTTTAAAAATAGCCTTGTGTTTGTGTGGTTTTTCTTTCTTTTTTTAATTTGATAGAAGTTTCTTGTAGTGAACTAGAAAATGTGAGGGTACAGTTCCTGCTTCTTTGAGAAGAGGGTCTGAGATACAGAGAAAACATTGAGATGCATGTTTGTTTGTAAATTGAGTGTGAGCCATGCTGATAATGAAGCAGCTGCCCCCAAGCGCCAATCGTGTTGCAAAAGCTCACCCCTTAACCTCTTGGTTAGGGTGCATTCCAGAGAAGGCTTTTGCTGGGCAAGTCTCCAGCCTCATTCGTAGAATTCACCAGAAAGAAGAAGAAAGCAATTCAGAGGAAAAAGGTGGAGTATATTAGCACCGAGAGTCCTCTAGCTGGAAGCACCCGGAGCCTCCAAAGCGTTCCCCTTGCTTTGTGGGGGTGAAAGCATTTGCGCTGTTTGTCTAAAGTGTTCATGCCATACAAATCTTTCAGTGTCTCTGAAATTCACTTTGGGCTGCCGCCGTCCCAAGCTGCGTGAAGCAGGAAGAGGGGGAGAAAAGGCAAGGGAGAGAACAGGAACGTTGCAAAACTTCCAAGCATGAGAATGGGAACATTGCACAACTTCAAGCATCGGTGGTTCATGCCCTGCAAAGACCAGCTGTGATGGAAGCGGGCGGCCTTGCTGTTTAAAGTCAGGCGCTTGGAGGGTCTCCCGGAAATGTGTCTCCATGTGAATCACAGCCGGATTTTGTTGGCTTTGAGAAAACTTGGTTGACTTCCCAGAGTTTCGTTGGAAGACGCCTACCGCTGCCAGGAAGATAGCTTGCAGCCCGCATGCGTGGAGATGGCAGCGCATCCCTGCGGATCCTTCTCTCCCTTTTCTTGGAAAGGTTGGGAGCTCCAACTGCATGGAGATGCCACTCCATACCTACATCTCGAGATAGGCCTTTCTCATCCGCTCTACAAGATGGCCTTCCTCAAGCCATCTGCTTCAAGAGCCTTCCAGATCGCAACTCCCATCATTCCCTGGCATCTCTGCCCTCCAGGACTCCCTCCCAAGCTGCAAGCCCTCCCATCTTTCTGGAGGGGCTTACAAGCCCCTCCAAAAAGCCACGTATGCGTGCTCGTGGAGGTGGGGGGCAGGGGGTGGGGTGATCTTTCCCCTCCTCGGCGTTCGGGCCCTTAACCAGACCATGGTGTGTGTGTGGGGGGGTCCTCCAAAGGCAGAGGGGGGCCTTCACCTGATTGGCAAGCATTTTAAAGTTGGGAAGCATTTTGCATTTAAAAAAAGAGCGCAGGAAATGCGGGGGGGGGGCGCAGAGAGACGCTGGGGAGGGCCACCGCTGGGCTGTCCTGTCCTGTGCGCGCTCCTCGATGGACCCTCCTCCCGCCCCCCCCCCCCTCAGACCCCCCCCAACGCGGCGGAGCCCCCGCCCGCCAGGCCGCCTCGCTTTTATTGCAGCTGCAGCGCGCAGAGCCGCCGGCACGCAGCGAGCCGCAGGGGTTCCGCTTTCCCGTCCGCGCCGCGCCGCGCCGCGCCTTCTCTCGGCGAGTCATGGCGGTCCAGTCGCCCTACTACAAACCGGTGAGTCCCACGGGGCTGGCTTGCTTGCGGAGCGGGGGGTGCCATCCTCCAGGAGCAGCCCCTCTCCCCAGCCGCCAGATGCGCCCCAGAACTGGATCCGGGGAAGCCTCCTCGCCTGTTTTCTTGTCGCCTCCCGTCTCGTCTCTCCTGCTCTGAATTTGCCCACAAATGTTCCGTGTTTTGTGTGCGCTGCACGCGGGCCGAGTGAATCCACCTAAACCCAGGCGGATGGCTCGCTTGAGTAGCATTTCCCATTGGCGTACACCGCTTTAATGTGTCTCTTCTGGATGTGCCTAGTGGTTAGAGCATTGGACTGTGGCTCAGGGATTCTACTCCCCTCTCAGCCAGGAAGCTCACTGGGCGACTTTAGGCTGGGTGTGCCTCTTAGTCTGACGTACCTCACAGAGATGTTGTGATATATATATATTTAGGAGAGAAGGTAGATGCTGTGAGCCAACTTGGGAACAAAATACAGCCTTTAAATATTTATTTTAAACCTCTCTAGACCGTCCCTTACTGTGGTCTCGGGACAGTTTAACAATAAGACAAATAAGCAATTGTTAAGTAATAAGATGTTAAACAATAAGACAGTTTCCGCACTTTTTAAAACTCTATTAAGAATTTCAAAAACAAATTCCTGTTGTTGTTGGAAATTATCAGGAGAACAGAAGTACTTGCCTAGCTGGAACAGGGGCAGAGAAATGCTGGAAACATCCTTCAGATTGGAAGTAATTTGCCATCTAAAGGGGGTTCCCATAAGACCATTAAACACCAATTCTGTGCTTGTTTTGACAAGAAAATCCTGCATTTCCCACCCAGGCAGGCTGTTCCTCACACTGGATGTCTTTGAACATGCCTAGGATTGATTTGCTGGGCATGTCATGAGCGGAGCCGGCTGGAGCTTGGGGTCAGACTAGATGGCCCAGGAGGCCCTTCTGACTCGCTCTATTTCTATGTTTCTATGATTTTATTAGAGCTATGTCCAGCCCTTTTCTTTCTAAGGAATTCAAAGTGACTTCAGCTATTCTTCTCCTTCCCTCAATCTTATCCCCACAACAACAAACTTGCAAGGTAGGCCGGACCGAGAGTGACTGGTCCAAAGTCACCCAGTGGGCTCCATGGCCACGCGGGGACTCGAACCCAAGTCGCCTGAGTCCCAGCCCTGCCCTCTTAACCACGACACCACACTGGCTCTCGGCTGTGCCCCAAATCTGAGATGCACCCAGCTGGATTTCTGTTTCTTCTCTGCAGCAGCCAGCAAGAATTCTCTGGCCAGGAAGCATCCTCAGCCCGCTCCCCACATCTTTTGGGGAGCTACTCTTATTTTCACCCCCCCCCCAAAGTTTTTGTGCTTCTGGCAATGCCAGGCTTCATTGCGATGGTTCCCTTGACATGGAAAGCTCCTGGTCCCCGTTCTTTTCCACTCGGTCCTGCTCCAGGGGGCAAGCACCAAGCTCTCCGCTGCTTGACTCACGAGTAGACTCTGCGAAAAGGGCTGGCTGCAGCGTTGGAAGCCTTTTCCCTGTCCGTGGCTTGAAAGAGGAATCCAAGCAGGCACGGAGATGACCCATTGTCTGCTTGGCGTCTTTTAATGGAGGCTGAGCTGAAGCGCCACTTGGGTGACTCCTGGTAGCTCAAGGAAGGCTTCCTGCAGAGCTTGCTTGGAGGCTTTGGACAAGGCGCTGTGGGCAAGCCAAACCTCTGGTAGGCCGTTGTTTGCCAGAGGGGCTCGTAAGCTCTTAATCCCGCAAGCCCTCGTTTGCCATTTCTTCGATGATCCGCCATTCTCTGGAGCAAAGGGATGTGAGTGGAAAAGCAGGAAGGAGTTTCTCCTCCCACCCGCCCTCCCGCTGCCCATTTACCAGACGGAAAATCAAAACATTTCAAGCACGGGGAGGCTTGATACCTCTCACTCCGGAAATGGGGTGTTCTGCTCAGTGCTGCCAGCTTAAATGAAACCCAAGAGCAGAAGTAAAACTTGCACACTCCTCGAGGCCCCAGGAAACAGGCGTGTGGGCTGTGCGAAGGGGCCCATCCTTGCCAAGGCCTCAACATTCTTGAATTCCCTCTCCCTTGCCCTTCTTCAAGTGATGGGGCTGGCTCTCCCTGCATCCCACTGAATCGGGCCAGCGAGACTAGGTGGTCTGCCTGAGCCATTTGCAGCCAAGAACTGGTTGTTAGTAGGCAGTATTAAAAAGTTAATGCATAGAAATGAAACATGAAACAGAGCGAGTCAGAAGGGGTCTCCCAGGCCATCTAGTCTGACCCCCGGCTCCAGGTGGCTCTGCTCATGTAATCCTCCAATCTTTCTTTGAACATCCTCACTGATGGCGCCTCAACCAACTCCCTTGGAAGCACATTCCATAGCCTAGGGACATATAATATCTCCAGTTAACGGTGAACGGCTGGTCAATTATAAATTGTTTGCTTTTACATTTATATCTCAATTTTTCCCTCTGGCAAAGAAGCTTATTGTTGCTAACATAGTTGTCCTCTCGATTTTGGCCTCACAACAACACTCAGAGGGTAGGAGTGAAATTTAACTTAGAAAGGAGCTAGAATGTTGTGACATCATCCCTTTATGCGTTTGTTATATTCCACCTTTTTTCCAACATGGCTGAGCCTTCCCCTTCTCCATTTAGCCTCACAACATCCCTGCGAGATAGGCTAGGCTGAGAGCCAGTGAAAGTTCCTTTCCAGCCACCCTGGCTGAGTGGGGACTTGAACCCAGGTCTCTGCAGTTGGAGACCACTCTCCCCCAACTATTCCATGTGGATTGTGAGCGTAAAGCAGGTCTCCCCAATTCACCGCCCTGCAGAAGTGCTTACTACAATTCCCATCACCTGGATGGTTGGCCAAAACCGATGGGTATTGTCATTCAAAGCATTTGTCACGCATCCCTGTGTACAAAGTACAAAAAACATGCATTTTGCACATGTTTGCAGTGCTGTTGCTCAGATCCAGCTTGGCACCCCCAGTCCTAGCTATGGGCTGCTTTTTCAAAGCGGGTTTTCACGTGCTTTTTGGAAAGAAGGTGGGATGATCAACTGTTGAATTGAATGCACTCATTCAGTACCTTTGCAGGAATTTAAACCAGGTGGATTAAAACTGCAGTGGATTGGAATATCACATTTGGAGTCAGGGAAGCCCATAGAAAATGATGCTATTTTCTTTTTTACATTCACCAGTCCCTCCCGTTTACTGGTCCAATTTATGGTGGCCTCAGAGATGGGCAGATGGTAGTGATTTCTGGAAGTATCCTGCCTTCTTGTAAAAGGTAAGCGGTCTGGTTTTATTTAAAATCTTCTGTTCACTGCCCAGAATGCTAATAATTAACAGCAAGTATAGATTTTCTGTTAATGTATAAAGAGAACTTAATCTGTAGAGGGAACATGGAACGCCCCTGCCAGAAACTCTGGGGAGCCAGTAACTTTTTTCTGAGAAAAAGGATTTGACGTTTCAGCTAGACTTAAAGCCTTTTGCAAGTTAGTACATGCATGTTACTAATCCTCATTTGGGGATGGGATGGTTAAAAGCTAGCCTGCGTCTGACAAACCTCGTTGTGCTCTGTGACGTCAGAGCCACACTGTTAATGGAGAAACGGGATCCCAGAACCAATTTGTGAAAGGGTAACTTCTCCTGTCTGTACAGAGCCCAAATCTAGACAGTGTGGGTACTCCTTCCTCTGATGAATGCCAAGTTAGGTCCATAAGGACCACAAAAACTCAGTGTGGACGTGGCATTTGGCCAAGTGTGGTAGTTCATCAAAGTTTGACAGAGGAGCACTGCAACACGAAGTTGCAGTGTGCCATATTAACATTCAGTGCTCCACTCAGGTTCTTCCGAGGTTCCTTTCAGGGGCAAATTCTCCGCTGGCCATGTCTCCCCACTTTCTTCCTCCCCAAGTGCCATCCCATGACCTCTGAATACCCGGGCTGTTCTAGATAATTCTGTTTACCCCTTTAGGTTTTTTTCCCTGAAGTTTTTTGTGCTGCTGCGAGTCTTGCTTCTTCCAATTGTACAGAAGCCTCCCTCCCTGTTTTCCGAGGGGGTTTGGCTGCGTATGTTGCAGCTGAGTATAAAGGAAGTGTTGTGCACACAGGACTTGGTAAAGCATTGCTCTGCGCAGTGGCCCCCGTGCCCAGAAAAAGCCCCGGATGAGTGTGTGCTAGCACGATCACTTTGGTTTCTGCTAACCACCCCCCCAAAAAAAGTACGCAAGGACCTCTCCCTCACCGGCAGGAAAGGTAAGAAATTTCCTCAAACAGGGCTTTTTAAACACCCCCCTAAAAGTGGATAAATAGCCAGATAATTCATAGGGCATCGTTTCTAAAAGGGCTGCCAGAGGGCTTGGTGGCATGACTTGCCCTGCAGCTGTCCCACGGCTGCGAGGAAGCTGGAACATAGCAGGTACGAAGTCAAGCAAGTCTGCCGTTGGAATATTTTGTATAGAAACAGAGTGAGTCAGAAGAGGTCTCCCAGGCCATCTAGTCCGACCCCCGGCTCCAGTCGGCTCCACTCACGACACGCCCACCATGTGCATGTCCAAGATATTTCCCAAGATACCTTCCGAGAGTGGAATTTCAGCCTTGTGGGACTGCTGTTATCCTTGCACAGTCCTTGCTCCATCTCTGCCTCTCTAACTAGGAAACTGTGGTGCATTTATGTGAGGCTGCCCTTGAAGAGGCTTCCGAAGTGACAGCTTGAGCTAAATGCAGTCGTGGGATTAATAACTGGGAGCTGTAGGTCTGAACACGGAAGCCCTGTTCTGGCCTGCTTGCCTTGGTGGGTTTTATGGTTCCGGGCCCAGTTCGAGGTGCTGGTGTTGACCCATCAAGCCTTACCTGGCTTGGGACCACAGTACCTCGGAGCATCTCTCCTAACCACAATCTGTCCGGACACTATGCTCAACATCTGGGGCCTTCATCCAGATGCTGAAGGTGGCAACAAAAGGCATGGCTTTCCTGGTGGTGGCCCCCTATCTATGGACTGAAGCCCATGTGGCACCATCCTTGTTTATCTTCTGATGCCCCGTTAAGACAGCCCTTTATTTCAACGAATTTAAATATATACCGGAATATTCAAGGGCCTGAGGGCATATCTCTTCCCAACTGTGCTTTCCAGGGCTATTTTCCATAGTTCTTAATTCTTCCGTTTAAACGTTTGCCTTTTTGATAAGATTCTATGGCACTTGATTATATTTTATTGTACTGTTTATATGAACGACTGTAATCCCAGGGTTTTAGAAACAGAATATGACTACAGTATAGAAATAAACTAACAACAACTCTATAGTATTGAAATAATGATAGAATAATATTGATGAGATAGAATATCTGTGACCATTCTAACTTCTCGAGGAAAAGATGTCAAGAAGGGAGAATTGAGAGACAGTACAAACACAAACTGCTTTGTTTTATCTCCTCTTGCAGGTTCCAGGTGAACTTCCAGTGTGGAATGTCCCAGGCGCCCCGATCGGACATCGCTTTCCATTTCAATCCTCGGTTTGACGATGGGAACTGCGTGGTGGCGAATTCCTTTGAAAGGGGCAGTTGGCAGCACGAGGAGAGGAAAAACGAAATGCCGTTCCGCAAGGGGCAGGCTTTCGAAATCCGGTTTCTTGTGACTAACAGCTCTTTCATGGTACTGAGAAGAGACATGCCGTTCATGGGTGAAGTGATCTGGGTTTTTTACAGCGGATCAGGCTGGATCTCAACTGGAGCTTCTGGAAAGCAGTTTGTTCAGTCCATGGAAGGCTTGTGATCCAACAGAGTAATCCCACTGGCGAAAGCAGAGAGATGAGTTCTCCTTCCTCTGCTGACCCCTGGCTCCCTCTGGCTTGGCCTTGGAGGTTGTGCTGGGGTCTGCAGAGTGGGACTCGCAAGAATCCCCTTCCCCAGTTTTGCCAAAAGAGCCAGCTCTGCATCCAGTGCATCCTTCAAGTTGTTTTGTAATTCATTCCTTGGTTCTCACAGCGGGGCCCAGTGGGAAAGGCAAACTGGAATAGCTTTGTGCATGCTTGTGGGGTCCTTCCAGCATCGTCAGCCTCCAAACTGCTCTCCCGCCACACAGCCACCACTTTAAAGATGGAGAACGCCTTACTCTCCAAACGTTGGGTTCCACATCCCATCTGCCTCAGCCAGCCTGGTCAGAGATGATGGGAGTTGTGGACCAACAACATCTGAAGGACTGCAAGAGATTCCCTAGAGCCTCATCCCCAAATAGGTTAAGCACCTTGGGCGGCTCCTCGAAAGGCAAGACTGAAAAACGGAGTGGATACACGGCCCCTCTGACAGTGCAACTTCCAGTCACTGCTGTCCGTAACTGGGTAGGGCCATTGGGGGTGGGGGTGGGCTGAGGATAGCCCAGGGTTTGAGGCTGAGAGGCACACAGGACGGAGGTTGCTCACCCTGCTTTAGAAATTAACTACAAATGGGCCTTCTGTGCATTCCGCTGGTTTTTCTTGTTTTAACAGAAAAAAAAGCCCTCTCTTGTGCCTCCATGTTGCAGGTTGCTGTGGACGGCAAGCGCTTTCTGGAATTTAGGCATAGGATCTCCCTCTTCAGAGTGGACACGATTGGTGTCTCGGGAGGCCTGGATGTCGCTTCCATTAGCTTCCAAAGCCCCATGGTATGTAGCAATTTTTCTGTGGATCTCTGAAAACATCTCTCCGGGCAAGGACAGCTGAAAGATTAACCTTCCATATTACTCTGGGAGAAAGGTTCATAAGCTGGCCATTTCCCATCTTTTGGAAAAACAGGATGATGTTCTTGTAGGTTCAGTAGTATTGGAATACCATCATCCTTTCAAATGTGGCAAGAATTTATCAAAATATATATGTGGGTAAGAGGCGGGGGTGATGTAGGGTGTTGGACTTGGGAAATCGGGGTTCTCACCCCCACTCAGTCATGGAGCTCACTGCGTGGACTTGGGCCAGTCATAAGCGCTCTGCCTATCCTACCTCACAGGGTGGTTGTTGTGAAGATAAAATGGAGAGGAGGAAAACTTTGTAAGCTGCTTTGTAAGGGAGAAAGGCAGGATATAAACACAATGTAATCTCCCCCAAAGCTGAGGCCATATCTTCAGGATCCTCTCTCAAATTTGTATTCCTTTGAGCATTTTATTTCAGTCTTTGCTGCATTATGAACAAATGAATATTTTCATTTAGTCTGCTTTAACCCCTACATAACTATGTAAGATGGAAAATAAACCAATGAATGCAGAAAAGTTCAATGCATGCTGAAAAAATAAGATGCAAGTTAAAAATAAGATCCAACTCTCATCAGTAGATTCATTAAGACATGTGCGAAGTTCCATGTTTGCAACTATCTCAGTGACTGGAATATTGGAATATTTGGGACCTATTACTGGCTGAGAGTCTTCGGATCATTTGGGGAAAGCTTTGCAAAGCAGCGGGGTATGTTAAAAAGCTTCAAAGAGTTTTCATTCATATTTATTTATTTAAGGCACTCTGCCATCTTGAAAAGTTGCCAACACATGCACACAGAGCCAAAACCAGGATGTTTTTAAAAAAACGTTCAAGCAAGAACGGTCAAGCTTCCTCTTTTGTACCCCATGACAACCTCCCTTCTTGGTTTAACCTAGATTTGAGGAACTTAATTTTCCCACGCAGAAGTTTTATCAATATTTTAAGTTGCTGCTGCATCTTAGAGACACCTCCTTACAGATTGAAACACCATCTGAAAACAAGGCCTTCTGTGACTTTCTTTATGTGTACATTTCTTTTCTGTTTTATTGCAAATTAGGAAAAATATGCCAGACTCATTTAGAAATCTGTTTTATCAATTGTTTGAATTATTATTATTATTATTATTATTATTATTATTATTATTATAATAACATTTCTATGCCGCCCCTTGCCGAAACCTCGGGGCGGCTTACAACATGATAAAATACATTGAAATACAATAGTACATAATAAATTACCATTAAATACAAAAATACAAAAAATACATTGACTTACAAATATAAAATTAAAATTATCAGTATAAAATAAAAATATAGGAGGAGAAAGAGAAGGAAGAAGAATTGCTGTACAGTGGTACTTCGGCTCACAAACTTAATCCGTTCCAGGACTCTGGTCATGACCCAAATTGGTCGTGAGCCAAGTCAAATTTCCCTATAAGGTTCAATGTAAATAAGGTTAATCCATTGTGTAACTATAATTTTTTTAACCGCAAACATTTGAAGCAAAGTGACAAAGAATAATAAAGATCATGGCCATCCCCCCCCTCCCCCGCCAGCACAACCGCGATCGTGGGCACGCTGTGGGGGGGGGGAAACGGGCACGATTGTGGGTGTGCTTTTGGGGGGACGGGTCGCGATTGTCACCCGATGCGGAGTTCACGACCTGCTGCAAGATTTTTCAGAAGTTTCTGTTCAGGACCCTATTTGTGAGCTGAGGTACCACTGTATTTGTTTCTTTGGTATTAAAACTGATTGGTTTGGGATCATAACAGCCTTTGGAGATGGGGTGGCATACAAATGTGATGGATAAATAAATATCTGCTAATGCTTGTTTATTTCATTTTTGCAAGGTTGCAACAGTCTGGCCTGCTGCAAGTGTACCCATGGTAAGATCTCCTTCTCTTGGACAATCGTCTCCTCCCTTGCCTTTGACTTGTTCCCAACTCCTCCCTCTTTTTCTGGTCTTTAGAAGTGCTCCTGTGTAAGGTAATTAAAACTGTGCTGTACTTTTGGGGAGGGGAGGCTTTGGGAAAACTCAAAATTGTGGAGAAGCCCCCCAAAATCTTTCTTGGGCAGACCTCCAAGGGAATGGAGTTCCCAAAAAGAGGCTAATAAAAGCTAAAGGTGTTCACTGGCCTTCGAAGGCTCACGCAGCAGTTGTAAAGAATGAAATGGAGTGTCCTGGAAGAAAGCTTGGAACTGGCTTGAACTTGGAACTGGCTTGTTTCAAGTCGGCACAGAGGCATAGCTCCAGTGCATGATAAAATACAGTATTAAAACTGATAAATTAACTGTTAGAATACCTGGAAAATAAAAGGGTTTTCAGCTGGTGCCAGAAAGAAAAACGGGTTGGCACTAGGCATAACTCTTTGGGGGGCTCATTCCATAAAGGGGGTGCCACAACTGAGAAGGCCCTTCTCCTGGGTGCCACCCTCCTTACTCCCTTTGCAGGGGGCTCCCTGAGCCGGGACCCCAAAAGCTGATCTGAGAGCCCAGGTAGGTACACACAGCTTATGGCAGTGCCATGTCAAACCTCCACGCAAAAACGTACACGACAAGGAGCCGAAAAGTAGCTTGTGCATGAAAAGCACAGAATGTGTATTTGTATGCTTTAAATCACCGCTGGACAGCAATCCCCCTGCCATTTGAAAAGTCCTTGGGTGTCTGTCATGCTGGGCCACAGCCTGGGCTTCTCTGAGCCAGACTTTTAACCAGACACTTTGCTGAAGCGTCGTCTTTTCAGATTCTGTGCAGGTTTCATATCATTTCCCCCACTTGTGCCAGCCTTTCTGTGCATTCCTTTGCACAACCACAAGGAGGCGCTGTGGCATAAGTTGTGGAAATACATGACAGCCAGATACTCATTCTCTTTCCTTACTTTTTTAAAAAAGTGTGGAAACGCTTGGAAAACACGGGGAAAACCCTGGGAATGGTCAAGGTCTGAAAAGCATCCCAGGCTCCGTGGGGGAAGAGCCACAGTTGCTCAATGAATAGGGCCACCCCCAGATGGCAAAGTTGATGATTAAGGGGGTGAGGTCTGTAAACAGAAAAACACCCAGCATAGGAAGTCGCAGTCCATTTTTCCATCTATACTTGCACCTTAAATTGCGCTGATATCGTCTTGAGCATTAGAATCTGGTTTAATAACGCTTATTCTTGTTGCGGGCTGCTAATTCCGAGTGACTCAGAGCCTTCTGGGGAGGTGCCAGTGTTGCCGTCTGGTCCACAATTGGTGGATGAGTTTCAGTTGTTGCGGCCTGATGATGTGGACAAGGTGCTTGGACAGGTACGTCCTACCACCTGCTTACTGGACCCTTGCCCATCTTGGCTACTTAAGAAAGCCAAGGACGCGATTGGGACCTGGATCCTGGAGGTTGTCAACGCCTCTCTGAGGGATGGCCAGTTGCCTGCCCCTTTAAAGGAGGCGGTAGTCCGGCCAGTCCTGAAGAAGGCATCCCTTCTTCATCCCATAGACCGGTGGCCAATATCCCGTTCCTGGGCAAGGTGTTAGAGCAGGTGGTGGCGGGACAACTTCAAGCACTCTTGGATGAGACTGATTATCTGGACCCATTTCAGTCCGGCTTGAGACCCGGGTACGGTACTGAATCTGCCTTGGTTGCCTGTATGATGACCTGTGCAGGGAGAAGGACAGGGGGAGTGCGTCCCTGTTGGTTCTCCTGGACCTCTCAGCGGCTTTCGATACCATCGACCATGGTATCCTTCTGGATAGGCTAGCGGGATTGGGGGTCGGAGGCACTGCTCTGCAGTGGTTCCGCTCCTATCTCAATGGCCGACTCCAGAAGGTGGTGCTGGGGGACTGTGGCTCTGCGCCATGGCAGTTATGCCATGGAGTTCCACAGGGGTCCATTTTGTCCCCTTTGCTGTTTAACATCTACATGAAACGGCTGGGAGAGGTCATCAGGAGGTGTGGGCTGCGGAATCACCTGTACGCTGATGATACCCAGCTCTACCTCTCGTTTTCTACCAATCCAGGTGAGGCAGTGGCTGTGCTGAACCGGTGCCTGGCCGAGGTAATGGGCTGGATGAGGGCCAATAAACTGAAGCTCAATCCAGACAAGACAGAGGTCCTGTTGGTAGGCAGGTCAGGCTTTGGGGTGAGGGACCTCAACCTTGTCCTGAATGGGGTTGCACTCCCTCTTAAGGACAGGCTCTGCAGCTTGCGAGTGCTCCTCGATCAGCTGATCCATCAGCTGCGTCCCTACCTGGAGAACAATTGCCTGGCGACAGTGACACACGCATTGGTTACTTCCCGATTAGACTTCTGTAACGCACTCTACATGGGGCTGCCCTTGAAGACGGTTCGGATACTTCAGATGGTGCAAAATAGAGCTGCCAGGTTGCTGATGGGGACTGGGCATTGTGCTCACATAACTCCAGTCCTCCGTCAGCTTCACTGGCTCCCCACAGGTGTTGGTTATGACCTATAAAGCCCTTAACGGCTTGGGACCTGATTACCTGAAGGAGCACTTATGTCCATATATGCCCTCCCACCCCTTGAGATCGGCGGCAGAGGCCCTCCTCTGGGAGCCCTCCATGAAAGATATTAGGAGGGTGAGCACCCGGAGGAGGGCTTTCTCTGCGGTGGCGCCCAACTTATGGAACGCGCTCCCCAGAGAGGTCCTCCTGGTGCTGTCGTTATTTGCTTTTCGGCGCGAGGCCAAGACCTTTTTAGTTAAACATTATTTTAATTGTTAACTTTATTTATTGATTTTAACAGTTTTTTGCCAGGATGTCTCCAATATTTTATGTAATTGTACCGATTATATTTATTTATGTTTGGAAGCCGCCCCGAGGCTTATGCGAATGGGGCAGCATATAAGTTCTCCGAACAAACAAACAAATAAATAAATAAATCCTCCCATGTTAGGACCCCGAGGGTATGGAATGGCTCCCCCGGGAGGTGGGTGAGGCCCCATCGGTGAGGCCGTTCAAGGGCAGGCTGGACATGCACATGCTGGGCATGTTGTGAGTGGAACTGGCTGGAGCCGGGGGTCAGACTAGATGGCCTGGGAGGCCCCGTCTGACCTGCTCTGTTTCTGTGTTTCATGTGATGGTGTTTGCTGACCCACTTTCCTTTCCTTTTGTTTTTTAAGGTTCACTCTCCTTTTCCACCTGGGCCAGCCTACCTGGTGAGTCACAGAACCCATTTTTTGGTATAACGCGCTCTCCATCACTACTCCGGTTCCCAAATGCTTTGGGGACATAGTGAAAATGTTCAAGAAATTGAATGCATTGCAATAGCCTCACAAGGTGAGCTGGTAGAGTTCTGAAAGAGTTGAGTAGGCCACACCACTTCAGGTGTGGGGTATCTTTTCCAAATACTTTTCAGATGCTATACATTCAAGGTGTGTGGGGTGATTTTATGTATCATGGATACACATTAACTTAATGTAATCCTGTACATTAATTCTGGAATTCAGTGTCTGAGATAGGTTTCAGCAATGGGAAACAACACATACATTTAAACAGCTTAAACATTTAAGCATTAAAAATGCTTTAAAATGTTAAGTTGGAAACTAGCACAGCAGATTAGAATTGATTGGGCTGACAGGTTCCTCCTATATACATAATTATTACATTACCTGTTTCCATAGGTAAGGCTATCAAAACAAGAAAAAAACTGCAAATAATAAAATCAGTTAAAACCAAATGCAACACTATTGGCAACTCGCTGGTGATTAAAAATGTGGCACGCGACATAAAGCTGTTCACACACAAACCTATCTATTAAAAGGTCTAGCAAATAAGATGGTCTTTTCCAGGCACCTGAAAGAAAGCAATGACTATAGCAGGTGCACCTCCTTGGGGAGTATGTTATAAAGTTGGGATGCAACCATAGGGAAACCCTTCACCTGACTGTTACCTTGCTTGCTTCTTTAGGAGGTGGTTCTTAGAGAAGGACCTCTGTAGATTCTAAAGAAAGGATATGATAATCTTATTTTACTTATGGACTGGGGGTTCATTTATACATGGGAGGTTCAACCAAGGCCTCTCCCGCCGGCAGCCTGTTTGGGCTTGGCACTTGGAAGGAGAACCTGTCTCTTCTCACCTCACCTGTTTCTCCTGTTTTCTCTCTTCCCGTAGCCTGTGCCTTACCGGGTTTCCATCATGGGAGGAATTTTCCCATCTAAGTCTATTATTGTAGAGGGGACTCCACATACTGGCGCCACCAGGTAAATATTCAGCATTTTGCTTGGGGAACATCTTTTTATTTAAACGTCATTTTAATTGTTCACAATATTTGCTTATTTATCTGGCCAGGGCAACTTCTTTTATATTTTTTATTTATTTTATATTGTTAATTTTAATTTTATATTGTTATTTTTGTATTTTATTGTATTTTATTATGTTGTAAGCCGCCCCGAGGCTTCGGCAAGGGACAGCATAGAAATGTTTTAATAAATAAATAAAATAAATCTTCCTATAAGTTGTGGGGCTGCCCTCCTCCGTTTCATTGCTTTTGCAATGAGCCTCAAAGCCGCTTTTCTTCCAATTTGCTGTTAACAGACGGTGCAGAGGTGGATTTTTAAAACATGCTTCAATGCTGTTATGCTAATCTAACCCTTGAGGAGTAACCTTAGTCTGGAATGAGTCCGAAGTGAATAGAATCGAACTTGTTCTAGCTGGTGATGTCACAGTGAAGGTTCCTTTGGCATTCAGCCATCGAGAGCTGGCAGTTTTCAACTCAGAGCAGATTAGCTGCAGATGGAAAGTTGGAAAGTTCTCCAACTGGTTTCCAAATGCTGCTCATTTTTTTTCTGTGCAGTTTGTACCCATTGTTTCCTTGCATAGAACCGATATTTTTGCTTTGTATGCAGGTTCCATATCAACCTGAAAGCAGGTTGCAACACTGTTTTCCATCTAAACCCACGATTCAATGAAAACGTGATTGTTCGGAACGCCAAGTTTAACAACAGCTGGGGCTCTGAGGAGCGTTTCCTCCCTTCTGGGATGCCTTTGTCTCGTGGTCAGCCCTTCAGCGTAAGTCAAAACCTTCTGCATAATTCTTTTTGTCTTTTCCAGAAAAGGGGAGGGGGGGAATTTGGTGTAGCTTCCATTTTAAGCCAACTGATCCGATTCACACTGCAAAAGAAACCCCCCCAAATACCTTAATAAGTCTTTAAAATAAAACACCAGAGATTGTGAATAAATTCATGTAATAACCCCAAATTAGACTCAGAGAACACCCAGAGGAGGGCTTTCTCGGTGGTGACACCCCGGCTGTGGAATGCGCTCCCCAGAGAGGTTCTCCTGGCGCCCACTTGGTGCCAGGTCAAGACTTTTTTATTTACCCAATATTTTAAAGTTTAAATATTTTAACTATGTTTTTATCTTCAGTCGTGTGTTGTTATGATGTATTTATTAGACGTTTTATATTGTAAGCCGTCCAGAGACAAACTGTAATGGATGAGTTAGAAATACTCCAAATAAATAAATGAATGAATGACAAACTGTTTTGCTATGGCCAAAACCAAGGAAGTATTTTTTTGGATGTTTCAAGATAAGGCCTCATGCTCTAATTTGTTCCAAGATGTGGCAACAACTACTTTAAAGACAAAACCTGCCTCCGTACCCTCTCAAAACGCGATGCCTCTCCCAGCTTCTCCTGTGCATCCATTTAAGGCCAAGGGAGACCACCAGAGGCCCAGGTATCTGTCTGTCTGCTCTCTTGTCCACCTGCTCTCCACGAGATGAATTTGGATCCCCTTGCCCTGAGGCCCCTCTTCCCTGTTATAAAAAGTGCCTCCAGCAAAGCATGGCTTGGCATGCTGTATGGGGCTGCTGTGTTACTTGCAACACAGCACTGAGGGTTTAAAAAGATTGGACTCTGAGGTCTTCCAAAGCCGCCCTCTGCGTGCTCCGACTGATGCTGGCTAGATAGCTGGTGCAACAGGCTGGTGTCTCTCTTGCAGCACCCAACTTTATGGAATGAATTCTGTTTGTGTTTCCTTCCCATGTTCCCGGCCAAGCATTTCAGAGGCCTAATCTTAGAGTTACGTCTCTGTTTTATCAACTCCTGTGCTATTTCTTACTCTGTCTGGTGCATGTTTATATTTTAAAATGTTTCTATAGCACTTTGGCCTTTTAATGGTTGGTAATCCACCTGGAGAGCGTTTGTTACTGGACAGACGAGACATGGAAAGCCATCATGAATTATGTGTTCAAGACACATGTGTACATGAATTATGTATTCAAGACACATCATGAATTATGTGTTCTTTCCATGCATTGCAGCTGGTACTTGTGGGATGCGGATGGCAACTCACACCTTGAGGCCACCTTTCTGCTCCCTCTTTCTTTACAGATTTGGATTCTGTGTGAAATGCAGCGCTTCAGGGTGGCAGTGAACAGACAATATCAGTTTGATTATAACCACCGTGTACCGAATCTGCAACAAATCGATCAGCTTGAAGTGGAAGGAGACGTAACACTGAGCAAAGTCCAAGTTTAGAGCAGCACACCTTGCTTGAATCAGTTTTGCACAGAGGTGTGTGTGTGTATGTGAAAAACATCGCGTATACTTTTTCAAGGATCCCTCCTGTATTCTCAGAACTGTGCCTGTCCGCTTGAGAAAGACCAGCCTGCCGGTCGATGCAAAATTACAGTATTCTTCTTCTTTATCTGCCTTGCAGAATTAACAAGCAATAATATGGCTGTTAGGACCATATGTTTTGAAGCCTTTCTTTGCTTAAGGAACTGGGCATGACTTCACTAGGTTAATGTGGAAAATTCACCCTGTTATGTGCCTTTTCTAGACATTGGCGAAGTGAGCTGGTGTGTTCCAAAACTGAACTTCCACATGAGAACAAATACTCATTCTCCAGTCCCCAAAGTGTAGCTCTCTTACAGAATGCAGGAGAGAGGGCATCCATTTTTGGGGGCTCCCCCTGCATCCCACATTCCCTGCCTGCAGAAAGCAAGCATGTCAGGAAGAAATTTTGCCACCTAGTTCCTTTCCTTCGCATGCTTGCCTTCCAGGTGCAGGGAGAGGTGGGGGTGGTTAGAGAGAGTTCATTGTGTCATTTTCTTCATCTCCATTCTGAAATGCTCTATTTTAAGAGGGACTTTTCTTTCTGACAGTACAGATTACCTACTTTGGTCTACGCTTGTCTGCATGGAGGATGCTTTCTGACTTGTTCTTCCCAAGTCTGTATGATCTGGCCTGGTGGAGATGAAGTTTGTGCAGCTGGTTTCTTGCAGCAAAGGCAGTTGCCCCACTGTGAATATTTCCGTCTCGGGATTCCTTAAATGTGCCTTATCCTTGTCCCAGCAAAGCACCTTGGCAGCAGCCTGCCCTGTTTGCAGTGCAAAGAGTTTGGCCGTGCATTTTCAGGAAGCACAGCTTGCAGCCAGACGCTAGCAGTACACAGACAGCTTCTTTCTGGGACTCCCGCCATGCCGTCATGACCCTTCCCAGCTCGTCCAGTTTCTCTCCCAGTGGGCAAGCCAGCCAGCCTTCACAACCAAGAACACTCTGTCCTCATTGGACTGTTGTGTGTAATCTGGAAAAGTTTCCCTCCCGGAAAAGCAAAGATTATGCAATTTGGACTACCTCAGCAGTAAGTCGGAATGTTGAAAACAGAGGGGCAGATATTAAAGTTTTGTTATTAGCCTGACGCAAACCAAGGAGTTTCTCACTTCTGCTTGCTGCAAGCATCTGCTGAGGGTCCCCTTTCTGATATAGAAGGGTCTTCAAAAAGTTTCTGCACTTTAATATTTTATAAATATACTCTTGCCAGTGTGGTGTAATGGTTAAGAACGTGGGACTGGAACTCAGACGATCTGGGTTCGAGTCCCCGCTCAGCCATGGAGCCAACTGGGTGGCTTTGGGCCAGTCACAGACTCTCAGCCCAACCCACCTCACAGGGTTGTTGTTGTGGGGATAAGATGGAGGAGGAGATGTAAGCTGCCTTGAGCCCTTTGTAGGAAAAAGGCAGGATATAAATTGAAAAATAAATATTTTATATATTTTTTACTGATGGCATTAAAAAGTTGGTGTGATGCTGGGGAAAATGAATCACAAAGGACGGGGACTGTGCCGAAAAGTGAAGCAATTTATTTTTGAAATTCTTAATAGAGTTTTTAAAAGTGCTGAAACTTTTTGCGGACCCTCGTATTTGAAAAATTTCTTAAGCTGGCCCTGCATCAAATGGGGCATGTCTTGCTGTCTGCCAAAGAGGGTTTATTCTTCTGTTCTAGCCAGATCTAGTAACCTTTCTCTGTATGGTGTTGAAACTCTTGTTGAGAAACTGGGCCATTTCCCATAAGGCTTCTCAGCTTGGAGGTTGCAGGATTAACCGAGACTGCTGGGGAAAAAGGGATTCTCTCTGCTTTGGAACCGTGCATTTAATTTTAAGGCTGGCCGGCTCAGCAGGGTCGTGTGCTTCTTTGCTCTGGAAGCTTTGCTAACCATCGCTCTCGAGCTGTTTCCACCTGCAAACTCAACTCTGCACTTTCTCATTTTTAAAAAGAAGATATGCAATATCAGTGTTGCTGTATGTACTCCAAGCCAGATTAGGTGCGCAGAAGAGGATACAGATTCTTTTTCTGCAGCCAAACCCTCTGAATAAATTCAGCCTTTTTTGCTACCTGATGCCTGTGAGTTTGGTCTTCTGTAAGGAGAGAATCCTGCGCTTTAGCTAGGCAACAGGAGTATGCAGAACCATGCATGGTATGGAGAAAGTGAAGAGGGAGACATTGTCCTCACTCGTGCCATGAAGCTGGGGGAGTCAAGATAAAAGGACAGACTCCTTCACATAGATAAACTGTGGAATTCGCTACCCCAAGCTGGAGTCCTGGCCAGCAGTTTGGATGCCTGTAAGGGCTGTCCATGGGAGCATGGTCCCAGGAGCATCCTGCCTGTTGAACCAGTGGCTGGGGAACATGGGCAGGAGAATACCCATGCTGGCCACCGTGTGAGCCGAATGTGACCTTGGGTCTCATCCAGCTGGGCTCTTGTCTTCTCACCTTTCCTGCGAATACGTCAAGGACATCGTAGCCCATTGCTGATTCTGATCCTCATATTCTTGGGTGCAAATCACGTATGCACGAGGGTGTCACTCCGGTGAGATGCACACCGGAGCAGTTTTGGAGAGAATGAACCCGTGATTCTGCCAGGGCATTTGGTCCAAGCTTCCACCGTACAGACGCAGCCCTGGAGCTCAGCTGGAGGGTGGCCAGCTGGCTCGGCCCCACACCTCCTTGGCCGATTGCTACCTAAATATCTAGGAAACAACTGGTCAGGTAGAGCTTTCCAGGAGAAAGAATTCCCACATTTGCAAGCAGCAGCCAAACCTGGGAGACCCCTAGCCTGGGAGTTGGATGAGCGCCACCACAATGGACGTTTGGAACTTTGTAAAAGGGGCCGTTCTTTAAATACTGTTTGGCCGTCTTCCCTGCCGGATGTCCTCCAAGTGTTGTGGCCAAGGATGCTGGGAGTCAGAGTCCAACAATATCTAGTAGGACAGCGGGAGACAGCTTAGTTTGGACTTGGGAGTGTGATTGCCAGGGGCTTCGGATTGCAGTTGGCTGTAACTATCCAGTGAGAAGATGGCACGGAGTTGGATCCACATGTTTCTGTGATATCTTGTGACATGCTGCCCCCTAAAACAGTTTTCCAAATCAAGCCCATCTGAATTGCCGGATGTATCATGCACAGTTCTCACCAGCAAGAAATCACCGTAGACTCAAATAAGAACAATTATTTATTAAAAGTTTGCCTCTCCAGTTTACTAACAAGTAAAACAATACACAAACAACAGTAGAAATGACGGCCTTCCAAGCTACAGTGGATTCCAGTTTGTTGTCCAACAGGTTTAAACACACAGTCCTCCCAGTCTGGACATGTATGTTGCAAGGCATTCCGGCTTGCTTCTCCCGCAGACACGATTATCCAAGGGCTCTATCCAAAGAGCCTTTTCTTTCTGCTGCTCAGTTTTGCAACCTCTAGGTGGAGCTCTGGCACAGCAGAAGAATTCAAACACACAAGAAAAATAGCACCAGGTTCTTCCCTTCTAAAAAAAAAATCCCACTTTTCATGTTGGAATCAACCGCTAAAGTGCTTTGATAGGACTTTACATAATTTATTCCCAGGGGCATGCTGAGAATGGTAGGTCTTTTTTTCTGTCTAAACTTGCAACGAAAATCGCATCTTGTGTTCCAAAAGATTTTAAAATCCTGGAAGGACAGGCAAGCCTTCGCAGCACCCCCAAAATAGAAGAGTGGGCGCCAGGCTATCTTCCCTTGAGAAAGCATCTGGCCACCACCAAAAAAGCCCTCCTTTTGCCATCCTCTAAGCCTCATCCTGAAGGAACATGTAAGGAAGCTCTTCTGGCCTTAACATTTAGGTTGGAACAAACGAGAAGCATGTATTGAAAGCAGATCCCAGGCCATCCAGAGCTTTCCACGTCAAACCTAGGACACAGAATTGGGCTCAGAAAAATACCCGGGAGCCAGTGCAGTTGAGAGAGAAGCCCATGTGATCGGTCCTGGCCGCGACATCTCTGTTGTATTTTGCAGCAGCTGAAATTCTCAGGCTTCGCATGCCACACATTCCAAGAAACCCAGCGGGCAGTGACCGGGGCCCAAAATATTTGCACTTGTGCTAGCCGATGGCAATAAGTTGAGGTTGGTCGAGGCACTGGGAGGTGGGAGATAATTCGGGCATCGAAGGACAGTGATAGCTGCAGGAGCACCCCAAGATTCTAGGGTGCAACGCTCTGAGAGCTTGTCCAGAGCTGAATCCCGCTGCCAGGATGCAGCAAGTTCAACACCTCTAGCACTGTACAAAAAATCCTCCTCCAGCCTCACCAGCCGATAATTAACATCTGGCCAGAGCAAGGCAATGGGCTTTATCCTCAGCTTCAAGGCCCGGCCCGGGAGAACTCCTGCTCAGCCCGTGAGCCCTGGGTGTGGAGTGCGACAGGTTGTGCAGGCGGGACGGTCCCAGCATCCCGGCCCGTAACTGCCCTGGCAAGCAGGAGCGTTTGATTTCTTGGAATTATGCAGTTGATAATATTAAGGTAAACGGTTCCGCTACTGGATGATGTAGGAGTCTTTGTCCAACAGAAAGTATAATAAAAAAGGGAAGAGGCTGGCTGCTAGTAAATGTCCCATAAAATAGTTGTGAACTAAACGAATAAATAGAATTAAATAAAACAGTGTTTTTAAAGGGGAGGGGGGTGTTCTGTAGGCCAAATTCTGCTCCTCCCACCCGAATTTTGGAGGGAAAGCAAAACTTGGCCCCTGCTTTTGGCAGAGAACAGGAGCAAATGTGCAGAAGTTATGGCTAAAATTCTAGCACTTCTTCAGATCTCCAGGTGCTTGGATCTGTCTTGGGTTCCAGTTCTTCTGATGCTTTTTGGCTTTCATGTGGAAATACCGCCCCAAAGATATCTTCATGGTACCGTTTCTGCCTCTGCAAAAGTCAACAGGTTGGGGTTGAAATGGAATAAATACATAAAGAATTATCTGCAACTTGTAATGAATTCACAGGCTGATAATCCAGTTAAAACTCAAGTGGCTATTATTTTTAATACAACCCCTATTAGATGCATTTCATTTCTGTGCTGCCCAATAGCCGAAATTCCCTGGGGAGTTCACAGTAATTCTACCACGAATGTTGCACCTTTTTCAACTCAAGAGGCGGAATGGGGACCTCACAGGGCTCTGCTTCGCACTCCTGGAATTCTTTTTGGGGGGAAAATTGTCCTCCATTAAAAGGATGGACACCAAATGGCCACAAATCAAGATATGGGGAGAAGTCGGGGCTTGTTGGACAACCCAGCTTCAGTGTTTCAGGTGACCCACGTTCGTGGTCCGAACCACACACCCTATTGGTTTTGCCAGTGAACTGAGCCACACACCTTAAGTTGGAAGCAATATTCTTCAGCCTGCTCTTTGGTCAAGCCCAGTAGTTTTGCAAATATCTCCTTCAGGGCCTTCGCCACTTCCCTGGCCATCCGGATGTCACCGCAGACATAAAGATGACCGCCTTGTTTGTGCAGGATGTGGCACACCTCTGTTTCTAGCTTGCTCCGAAGGAGGTCTTGGACGTAAACCTGTGGCCAGGAAAGGAAAGAAAAGAACCGATAGGTTCATGCAGCAGACCGATCCGGCTCTGTGTTACTCAGTGGGGGTTTGTGTGAATTTTGGGAGGTTCCGCACTCATTCCAGGAGGACTGGCAAATCTGCCGTGAGGCGGATCTCCTATTTGCGCGAAGTGGGCCGCCATTGCAAATGGGAATCGGGCTGCAGAAGAGGGTGAGAGGTCATTCAAAGGATTCTTGCAGTCTTGGATATCACACATTCTTCATGGCACCTCCATCCTTCTCGAAGCCAGGATGAAATGTAGGCCTACCTTGGGACAGCCAGGCTCTCTGGAGTAAGCGGTATAGACCTCTCGGAGGACCCCTTTCTGATGCATTTCCTGCATCTCGTCTTTGTAGAGGTGATCTAGGTGGGTGTTTCGGCAGCCGAACAAGAGAATCATGCCGTTTCCTTTGATTCCTAAAGAACAGAATCCCAGTTAAGTTTCTATTCTGAAAAACGTTCACTGGAGTTATGTGCAATGGTGCAGTCAGGACTGGATTTTGGGGGAGATGTCCAGGGACCCCACTCAAGGGAACGAGAAGGAGGGTCCCCAAATACAGCAAGCCTGGTTTTACACATTTGGAGGTGAGTGAAGCCGGCCCATGGCCATGAAACCATGCACACAAACACACCTATAAAACCATTAACTCCAGAGTATTACATGCCTACCCTCAGATCAACTACGGAGGTTCTTCTCTGTAAGCCACCCCTGAAGGAAGCAAAGAGGGTGGCCGCAAGGTGAAGGGCCTTCTCAGTGGTGGCTCCCCCACCTGTGGAATCCGCACCCCAGGGAAGCACAGCTGGCGCCAAACACTATCTATGTTCTGCCAGGTAAAAACTTTTTACTACCATTTTAACGTGATTCTGTCCTTTTATGTTGGCTTTGGGACACGTGGAACAGTTGTAACTGTATTGCACTATACTGCTTGCTTGTTGTTGTACCTGCCTGCTCATTTTCCCTGCACACGCAAGTTTTATGGCAGGCGGGCATGTTAAACGGTCTCAGTAGCTGTACTTGGCATCCTTTAATGATATTTCGTAATCTGCTTTCAAGACACTTTCAATACATAAATAACTGCACTAAAATTCCAGCCTGTTTCTTGGGGAGCACGCTGTTTCAGAGCATCCCCCTTCCTCATAGAAACACAGAAACAGAGCGAGTCAGATGGGGCCTCCTGGGCCATCTAGTCTGACCCCTGGCTCCGGTCGGCTCCGCTCACAACATGCCCACCATGTGGACGTCCAGCCTATCCTTGAACACCCGCACCAATGGGGCCTCAACGACCTCCCGTGGAAGCCCATTCCACACCCTCGGGGTCCTGACTGTCAGGAAGTGCTTCCGGGCATCCAAATGGAACCTGGGTTCCTCTCTGTGCATCGCCCACAAATCAATCTATTTATTGCATTTTTATTCCGCCCTGCAGGCCTGCGGGTGGTGAAGGAGAACGGGAGCCACTTGGAGCGGAACAGGAGAATGTGCGACAGAGTTTGCAGAACTTTGCACGCGCTCCGGGCAGGGGAGGATTCGGAAGCAGGGGAGGGGCATTTTGGCGGGAACCCCTCCCCCACGGGGGCTTGCCATAAAGGGAGGGGCTCCTGCCGCTTCCCTCAGTCCTCCCCCGACCGCCTTCGGCGCCTCAGGGCCTTCCCTCATCCGCTGTCTCCTCAGAGCGTCTCCACCTCTTTTCTAACATCTCTGAAGGTCTTTCTTGGCCCGTTCTGCTTGCAAGCCCCCTCTGGCCACTCTCTGCCTCCCTCCACACAAACACTGAACCAAACCATACCCAAGAAATCCTTTTTTGGCTCCCCTGCCTCCTCTGTGGCTTTTTATTTATTCATTAACTTGCTTATTTTGGTTTTTATACCCTGTTCTTTGGCTCTCAGAAGGGGCTATACAGTAAAACCCTAATAAGAAAATTATTATAATGCGCTCTCCAGAGAGGTCCGCCTGGCACAATCACTGTATGCTTTTCAGCACCAGGTTAAGACCTTTTTATTTTAATATGTTTTCATGGGAATTGGATGTTATTGTTTGTATTTTGTTAATTGCAGCCAGCGTGAAGGAGTCAATTTATCTATTTTATCCTGATCTATGTTGTAAGCCGTCCAGAGACACAAGTAACGGACGGCATACAAATTTGACAAAATAAATAAATAATGACAGTTAGTAAAACTGTAATAACAAACAATTTAAAAGTAGTGACCCTGGTCATACTGGCATTTAAAAATACAACCAACACCAGTACAAATACACCAATGATTTGGTGATACTCAAAACACCGAAATAATACCAACAGCAAATGGCAAAGCACATGCCCTCATGTCAAAATGGGCGTGTTTTTCTGCTTCTGTTTCTCGCCCCTCTGCCCTCTTTTCAAAGGCACCGCAGGCTCCCGTCCGTAAAGGCATCCATTGGATGCCATTGTGCGGCGGGCTTTGCACCTCTCGTGTCCAAGAATTGTGCAAGGCGTGCAAAGGCACGGCCGGGCGTTCTCCAAGCAGGCACAGGAGCAAGATGGAGAGACGCAGGAAGGCCAAGAGCAGGCCAAACGGCCGAAGGAAGCGCCTTCCGAAAGCCCCGCAGTCCCGGGGTCGAAGTGGTGTGGGATGGAGCCACGCCGGGTACCATCTGCCACGGGGCTGCCCGCAGATGCCTCTTGCACGCCCCGGAGGCCCGAGCCTGTCTTCCATGCCAGAGGGAGAAACTAGGGACTGGCCTGATGCCCCCCCTTCTGCCATGGTCCCCAAGACGCCTGCGGTACCAGGGGCACTTGGAGCCCCCCGGAGCCGATTGGTACCAAGGTCCGTAGAGGACGCTCTCGCTCCCCGATTGCCGGCTCGGACGGGCGTTGGGTTTCGCCAGTGCCACAATCGTACCGGGGCTCTTTTGGTCTGTGGGGACTATTCCACCAAGGACCCACATGGGACCCCTCTATGGGCCGGTGTATCGTCCTGGAATCTCGAGGGTGTGCGTTGCTGTCTGTCTCTACCTTTTGTTTCCAAGTCATACAGCCGTTGTTGCCAGAAGCTTCTGAACGGAGCAATTCCTGTGCCTGGCCCAATTAGGATACATGGTGTTTGGGGGTCTTTTGGCAGTTGGAAGTCCTCGGCACTAGACAACAGCACCCAGAAAGGGGAAGAGGTAGAACAGGATGGTGTTAATTCACAGGAAGTTACCATTGCAGTGAAACGAGACCCCCACCAGTTCGAATCAGAAAGCACCCAGTTCAGATTTCCCCTGTGTCATTAACTCATTTGGCGAGTTGTCGTTGTTGTTGTTATTATTAATATTGTTATTTCTGTACCACCCCACAGCCTCTTGGCAATTTATTTTTCTTATTTTTGTTAGCTTAATTTAAAAAAATACAATTAACATAGTAACAATAAACATAATTAAACATTACTAATTAACATCATTAAACAATACATTACTATCAGTGCTCCCTCCACCAGGACCAAAAACTCTAGTTTACAAGAACCCATAAATTCTCTCTTCTCCAGGTCAATCTCCCACCTTATTTATACAGCCGAGTAATGATTTGCTTTCTTACGTGGTTCCAACTTGCCCTGGGTGTGCATGTTTGTGTTCTTTTTGTAAATGAAAAGTGAAATTTAGAAATCCCTGCACTTGGAAGACTAGTATATGAGGGAAAAGGACCTTCGCTACTTGATATGCTAGCTTTTTATCTGTGGGGCAGGTCGTGGGTTTTGTTTTGGTTAGCAAAAGCAGAGAATCAAGTTCATGGGGTTTTTACATGAACAGGATCAGTTTCCATTTCAGAGGACAGGGTGGTGGTAATGTCATCAGGTGTCATTTTGGGGGTGGGAGTTCTTGCATTTACCTGCGAACAAAACAGTGGATTGTCTTCCTTGGGCTGATGGTGTTCAGCCAGGTGCTGCATACTCCGTGATGTAGTGCCCCTTTTCCATCTGAGAGCAGGGAGAAGGGAAAGACATATTAAATACTATTTTTTTGCCTTGCTGACATACCAAAAATGCATATGGCATGCCTATTTTATAGTAAAGTTATTGAAACACGTATTTTGCATGTTGCAATACAATGTTAATTTTTAATCCCCCTCCTCATCACAAATTAATGTGGCATTGGCTGAGATCTATGAAACAGTATCTATGAAACCGACATGGACTCCACACAGACTAATTTGCCCACTTCTTTGGAGTGAAGATACAAACTCGCAGACCAAATGCCCCTTCTCAGCTTAAAAATTAAAAAGCCTGGCACATAGAAATCTAGCATATCAGCAGAAAGGGTACACTCAAATCTGTTTTCCTGACCCAGACTTCTCTATGTTGAGAGCCACTGTGATGTAGTGCTTTATTGGGTTGTAAGCCGCCCCGAGGCTTCGGCAAGGGGCGGCATAGAAATGGCATAGAAATGTTCTAATAATAATAATAATAATAATAATAATAATAATAATAATAATTAATATGTCAGACTAAGGTACTCTGGGTTCCTTCACATACTCCGGTGCCAAGATACTTTGCAGAAAGCTGAGGCTGCAATCCCAGGCAAGCTTAGACAGAAGGAAAGCCTACAATTCCCAGCATGCCCCAGCCAAACTGGTTGCCTGAGGCATGCTGGGACCTCTAGGACTTTTTCTTCTCTAAACTTGCATACACTAGTACCTTAAGACCCTAAATTGCTTGCAGTGAAGCTAGGTCAACCATTGTCACAGTGCTATTTTCCTCTTTCAGATGAAGAGCTTTGAGTCCAAGTGGAATCAGCGCCTTCCAAGAGGAATCTCGGGAAGTGCCAATTACCTCTGGTCCGGTAGGTGACCACGGCGACCGTCAGATGAAACTCTCCAGGTTCCTGGTCTTGTGAAGAGCTGATAGAGTAATAGCGGGGCTTCAGCAATGGCAGCTGGGAGAGCAAGAAAGAGGGAGAAACCTGGACAGACGGGAACTCCTCCAAGACCTCCAAGAGTGTGGGGCTGTTGTAAAACTTCCATGTGTTGTACTCCTCCAGGCTCTAAGATGCAAAACAAAAATGCACGCATGGAACCTCATGAGGTGTGTGGACATCTTGGGCATCCTCTACAAGTGCCAAGAGAACTCTTGGTTTGGCCAAGTGGATTGCAAACAAGCTTGTCTCCTTTTCTTTGAAGAACGCAGGCAGTGCAGGTCGGTGATTCTAACCTGCTAATTGACTCTAGTGTAAGCCTGGATTGGGACTGCCCTACACGACTGGGGAGGGGTTAACTCTTCTCACCCCACCACCTTTTCCCTTACATTCTCCTTCTCCCTTGCATGTGTGCTGGTGAAACAGGTAATCTGTGTCTCCTCCTCTCATGCTGACATTGCAACGAGTCCCCACCCGTCTTAGAAGCAAACAAAATATTCAGAACGGTCAGGACTGTAAAAAGCTTTTACCAACAGCAACTGTGTCCTAAGAGAAGTTTTCAGCCCTCGAGAAGAGGGAAAAAGTGACAGACACAATTTATCATTGGGCTGGGAGGAAAAGGAGTGGCCGGCTGGTGAACTCTGCTGTGATGGATTCATAGAATCATGGAACAGAAGAGTTGGAAGGGGCCATGAAGGCCATTGAGTCCAACCCCCTGCTGTTGCAGGACACCAGTTTACACCATCCCACTCAGGTGGCTGCCCAGTTTCTTTCTAAATGTCTCCAGGGTGGGAGAGCCCACCACCTCGCTAGACAGTTGGTTCCACTGCCGTATTGCTCTGACGGTGAGGAAGCTTTTCCTGATGTCATTCCTGGCCTGCTCTTCCTCCCAGCTGCTGTCAGAGCTGCATTCACAGGTGAGCAGCAGGTGTGCAGCGCAAGCTCGCTGGACGTATTTTAGAGATGTCCTTCCACCTCCAACCTGGCAGACTCACGTGGCTCAGGAGGTCCAGCCGCTCTTTCTCGCTCTCTTCCTTTGCCAACTGAGAAAGGGCTCTGAGAAGTTGTTGGGAAGGCGGAGTCGTGATGTCCAGGAAGTGCATCAAGGCCTGAGCAAAGGTGCACGCTGGAAACCTTTTGTCAGGGGTCCAGTAGCCACCTGGAATTGAGGAAGCGGTGAGGAAGTCAGCTGGAGAGAGGAGAGGTTTCTCAGCTAGCCTAGCTGCTTTCTTGCCAAGATGGGCTTTTTTAGCCTTCCGCTAGCCCATCTCAACCCAGAAAGGACAGGACAATATTATTAGTCAATTAATTAATTAATTAATTAAAAGCTTTTCTGTCCTGTCCCCTACAAAAGTCTTGGGAAGCTTACAATAAATAAATAGAATAAAACAAACCCCATAGCAGCTGACCATTAATATACTAAAACCCCAGTTAAAATCAATTAAACATTAAAATAGTGGGAAAATAAAAAGGGTTTGGCCTATTATTGCTCTGCCCTGTTGCTACCTCAACTCGATACTTTTGGTACTTCAGATCCCATCAGCCCCAGAAATCTACATGTTTATGAGACTGTTCCTTGCCCTCCCTCCTTGGGTTCCCAACTCACAATCCCGCCGTGTTTCCAGACGAATGATCTCATCAGACGGAGGTGCATCCGCCACACGAGCAATGATGCCATCCACGAGGGACTTTTGGTTTTCGGGGAAGATCCCAAGATGGTCTCCAGGGAGGTGTGCGGTTTCCTGACTGGCCTCACAGGAAAGCTTAATTAGGACGGTGGTTCGGCTGCAACGGAAATAAAAACACGGGCCTGCCTTAAGTCACAGGATTTCCTTGCTAACACCAGTTTTAATGGGATGTATTCCAAGGATCAGGTGAGTGGAGTCTCATGGGTCTGTTTCTTAAAAGGGTTGAAACTTCCAGACCATTTATGGAAAACCTTTCCATCCACAGAGGGTTTGCGCTAGTTTGAAGAAGGTTGCTGAAATGTGCTAGTTAGCAGAGAGATGAGAAAGGTTCACCTTCCTATACATTTTGGGTTATGACTGTCCACTGCACACTGTTCTAAAATGAATAGCATTTTTTCTAGGTTGGAGAACAGTTAATTGAGGAGCGGCATGAGCTGCAACTCTCTGAAGGGCTATATGGAGCAGAGTCGTTTGTTTGTTTTAACCAACTTACTTGGTAGTGGATCTAATAACAGCCCTGATAACAGGTAAGTCAAATCAACCAGTCCTCAGGTGAAAAAGGGATAAAAGTGGGACGTCCAGCACAAGACAAAAATACCTGGAATTTGAACTTTGCAGGTTCTGTCGAAATTCAAGCTTCATTGGAATGACATTTTTCCCATGGATGCCATGGAGTGCTGAGGAAAAAAATATAGATCATTCTCCATTACAAATGATAGAACATTCTAGATAATGCCAATCTGTAGCAGCTGTTTATTGTTGCAAAGTACCATCAAGTACATGTTGTATCTGAACCTGCATGTGGGACTCTTGCACGGGGGCACCATGGAATTCATGTGCAGATAAAATCCCTCCATAGAATAGGGATTAGGGTTATGGCCAAGAAGGGTCCATGCATTCGTAAGCCTCAGAACATACCCAAAAGTATTGGGGACATTGGTGGGGGGGTTGTCCTGATAGCCCGAGTCCTGGGCCTTTTGAAATCTCACAGCAACCCTGCAGACAAGCTTAGGATTATAACTCACTCAGTCATGAGTCAAAAACCTTAACGATTAGAGTGTTCTATGTACCATCGAGTCAAGATCTGTGTGTTAGGACGGTGGTGGTGACAAAGCTAAAGTGACAATGACAACATGGAGTAGGAGAAGAAAATACCTTTCCCCAAATCCAGTGGCTGGGAATCATACACGATCCTGAAATCTTTTGGGTCCCAGGCTTCATGACAAATGAAAAATTTTGGTAACACAATCGTGTTCTTTCCGCGGATATCAAAAATTTCACAGGCAGTCTGGAAAAGATGGAAAAGAGTTATGGGGGTAACAACAGTGAGGGGGGTTAGAGGGACTGTGCTAATTTAATTAAGTGAATTTCAGTCAATTAATTGATTTTTAAAAATATTGTTTCTATGCAAAGTGAAAGAAATATAATCAATTGGTACTGAGTTGCCAGTTCCTGGATAGCTCAGAGGGGGAAAATTTTGAGGATGTTTCCATCAGTGTCAAAAATTCAACGGTTTCGGATGGCTAGCTTTCAAGGGGACAAAATAATTCACCTCTTCAGGCAGCATTACTCTGAAGCAGCCTGTTTACCCCCTAGTCCCATATGGTCCAAAGGCACAGATTGGCATCCCAGTGACACAGCCAGCATTTATTGTGTGCTCAGGATTCCTCATGCCATTGCTTATGGATTCTTTATGTGATGCTCTGACTCCTGGGAGCCTTGGATCAGGGCCTGGGAAAGTCTGCAGTGCGACGTTGGAACTGGTGGCCTTCAGGAGCCGTTCTCACACACCCACTCCGGACCTCTGGTACCTTGTTATGATCGTGGTTACCTTGAATGTGGTAACAGCCCAGGAACGAAATGCTTCCTCCTGACCATTGAGTTCGTCTCCTTGGCCTATCGAGGCGATTGGACACGCCCCTAGCTGTGCGAGCTTTTGATCCACAGAATGGGCGAAGGCACAAAAGTCTGGGTACATGGTTGAGCCCAAGCCAAAGACGGCATATCTGTATTCCAAAATGGGAGCTGTATTAGCTTGCATGTTGATAAAAGCAATTAATTAATAGGATACGGCTTGGGGCAAATGGCTTGGGAGCATTGCTGAAGCTACATGGACCTTCTGGGTGGTAGTTCGGTGGTAGAAACCTGCACCACGTGGAATGGAAAGGTCTTGGGTTCAGATTCCTGACACCTCCAGGCTGGGCTGAGAAAGTTCCCTCTTGCTTTCAAAATCTGGAGAATTGCTGGGACTGCGTGTTGGATTGCAGCCCCGTCCATTGCATGATGGGAACAGTAGTTTAGCACACATGGAGGGCAGAGAATTGGGAAAGGCTGTTGCAGATAATGCAAAGCCAGGTTAACTTGTGCTCTGACTTGCTACATGCACCTTCCCCTGTTTCTCCTTGAAGAAGCTGGTCCTGCTCATCCTTGGTACAAGAAGGGCAGAAGTCCAGCAGCTGGACAATACAGTGAAGGGAAGACCCTCACTGTGCTATCGAGGGATGCAAGAATCTCTCTTCAAGGTCCTTCAAGTTAAACCTCCAGCTCGGCCCACTTTCTTTCCTTTTCCAAATGCAAACTTGTGGAAGTTGTTACTTGAATGGGAAAAGGTACATTTTTAAAACTAGATTCCCCCCCCCACCATTGACTAACATCTGTGAAGATGTGTTTATTCTCCAAAATGCACATTTTAAAGGCATGCATGTTTCTAATGAATACATTTTGTGGATGTGACCACACACTTGGATAAGTGTGAACTGTGCCCAAATTTTGTTGCCACATTTGAGGGTCCCAACAGGGCAAGTTTTGATGCTTAACTGAGATGAAATTCTCATTTATTCATAGTGGGTTTTTTCTCTGTTCATGGCTGCAGAATCTCAATACCAGAATACAGAACTGTGTAACATAAAATTCTGTTCACCTGAATTTGTTATGCAGCTGTTTCATGGAGAGAAGGGAATTCTGAAGTGCCTGCAAGGAAAATACAGAGAAAGGTTTACATTCCATTGACAACAGCAAACCTATGGACAGAGTGTGTTTAAAAGCAAATTACTTTTCCGTTGCTTGGTGAGTCACCATTTCCAAAGGTACTTGTGACCACCAGGAGCAGAGTTTCCTTCTCAAGGTCCCCTGGATCGTAGTTGTCCATACAAGTAATCTAGAAAGAAGATGAAAGAGCATATGAGGAGGCAGGGGAAGAAAATTGTGGCTGAGCAAAGAAATATTCATCTCAGCAGCCTCTCTTGGGGCACTCCTAATCCCTGACTGAGTTGCAACCAGAAACGTCCAGCAGGCATCAACCTGCTGATCTGGTATTTAATCCAGGGCTGATGGAATGCACGGCCCTCTCAATGTCATAGAATAGTAGAGTTGGAAGGGGCCATGAAGGCCATCCAGTCTAGCCCCCTGCCATTGCAGGACACCACGTTACACCATCCCACTCAGATGACTGTCCTGTTGCTTTCTGAATGCCTCCAGGGTGGGAGAGCCCCCCACCTCTCCAGGCAGCTGGTCCCACTGCCGTATTGCTCTGATCGTGAGGAAGCTTCTCCTGATGTCCAGCCTGAATCTGGGTTGCTGCAACTTGAATTGATTATTCCATGTCCTGCACTCTGGCATCAACAAGAAGAGATCTTGACCTTCCTCTTTGTGACAGCCTTTGAGTTACTTATAGAGGGATCTCATGTCCCCCCCACCCCTGTCTTCTCTTCACAAGGCTGAACATGCCCATTTCCAATGTCATTGGACTAAAAGTCCCTGGCCACTGGCCGTGCTGGCTGGGGCTGATAGAAGTTGGAGTCCAATGCCTATTTGTTTCAGGGGGGCTTCTCTCCACCAGGCCCCAGGACATATTACCAGTTGTTAGTAAACAGGACACCCCGTTTTGGCATCCCCCCCCCCTTTTTACACTTCAAAGTTTTATTGTTTTCTACTCACTAAACAACAAATAGTTATTCCAAAGACTTCAAACATACTGGGTACAAAATCGTATTTCTCTCTACAATTGCTATGTATTCCAGCCCTAATTGAAATTCCAATTCTCTAGTCAATGATAGAAAAAGCCCCATGTTTGGTAGTAAACTGTATCTTCTTTTTCCTTAAGGGATAAAGTCAGTCTACCCATTTCCACACAGACCAGTATCTTGTTTAAGATCAATCTTTAGTCAGTAACTCTTCCTTCCTCCAACTCTTTACCTTGGTATTGAAGGCACAGTTGAAGACGTCGCCCAGGTGGCCGGCCAGGGTTTCCGATTTCCCTGTTTCTGTCGCATACAGGATGGTCACTTTGATCCTGGTGGCGGCGGCTCTACGCATCAGCGAGGATGCAAAAAATACCGCCCTGGGAAAGAGGAGGCAGTGAAGTAATTGCCAGTGATGGTGACAACTCCGTAATGCTCACCCAAAGCAAAGGATGAACTGAAAGAGCTTTTCTGCACCTCGAAGTAAAGCCTCGCTTGTTCGCACAGCACAATCATGCCTGATTTGGACCCTTGCTGATGATAGCACTGGGTGAGACACTGCTCTGGCGTGGTCCTTCGTAGTAAGTGGACCTCTGCCAGCGAGCTCAGTTGTCTGTCTAGTCCAAAATCATCTGGTTGGATCGGCAGGGGCCATCCGCAGAGGTTGTCTGCATGCAAGGAATGCTCTCTACCCCGAGTTAGGATCTTTTCAGAAGCATCTCTGAGGAGCAGAGCCCTTGGACTAAGTGCCAGAAGGGGGCGTCTTTTTAAGAACATAGGAAGCCGTCTTACATTTCGACACACTCTTGCTCCATGTAGCCCAGTATTCTAGCACTGACTGGCAGCAACCTTCCCTAGCCTCACCTGGAGGTGCCAGGGATTGAATTTAGGATTTTGTGTGCAGACTAGGGGCTCTAGGGGCCACTCCCTCCAACCTGTGCTCATGGGAGGATTCTCTGGGTGGCACCTGTTCCTTGCAGGCTTTGAAACAGTTAAATGCAAGCTAGTGACCTTGATCAGCTTTTTTCTGTACCAAAGGATGCTCCCAGAAAGGTAACGCTTTTTGCTAGACACTTACTTGGCCCAAGTGCAGAACTTGACCACTCTTTTTCTTGGTTTGCGTCTCTCGTCTTTCCAGACATGTGTTTTCCATGCATCCACCTTGGAAGGACATGGGGAGGTTGGATAATCCGAGAGAGAGAGAGAGAGTTTTCACTTGCTATCATAATACTAGAACTTAGTCTTGAACTTTGAGAATTTCTCCAGTCTTAATTCGGATCCTTTGAGATTATTATTATTATTTTTAAATCCATGAAAATTCACAACTGTGCATACATTCATTTTGCAGACATGTTTGCATAATATATACATTTGATACAAGCAATTATCCTGATAAAGGTGTTTATCTGAACATTGCCTCTTTCAAGATATGTTTTTTTCTACACATGCTTTGACTGAGTAACTCAATTTGGAAATGTGCAAATTTCGAAGGATAACCAAGTTTCGATTCGTAACAGCTGTCGGAAAGTGAGAAATTAAGTACGTTCACATTAAACTTATAATGTGAACTGAACAAGTTCTTCTGCCATTCCTGCTGAACAGGGCCCTCCTGAGAAAGACATTGCACTTAAACGTGACCATTTTTTCTCACCTGGTAATAATAGAAAGGCGACAAGATGTAGTTCAACATCTCCTGGTGGAACACAGGGGTGATGCTTCCCGAGATGGGAGGCACAAGCCATACCCAGTCACCCGGGCAGCCGCCTCGGAGACGATACTCATTCTGCATGTACTTCATGAAAGACTCCGTGGCGGAATGGTGGTCCATGATGGTCACGTTTTGTTTCTGGAAGAGGCACAGAAGCTAAGTGTGTGTGACGGTGATGCACACTTACAAAATAGTTCCCGGAAGGAGAGCCGCTTTGATGCAGAGGGGCTCCTTCCTCCTGCGTCCACTTCTTAATCTGCCTCCTATTGTCCCAAAGCCCCGATCTATGGAGTTCTGTAATATTCACTCCATGGGCAACTGCCCTTTCAGGCAAAAGCTGATTCCCAGCCCTTCCTGGAGGTGTTGGAACTGAGTGCCGAAGATGTTCTCCACCGTCAAGCTATGCCTGCCACCTCCTCTCTTTCTCCTACTCACCTGAAAACTGTGCAACACAGCAATGTTTACTTCGATCACAGCTTTGTCCTTCCACAGCGAGGACAGTTTGTTTGTTTCAAGGCCCATCCGCTTCCCAACATCCTGCAGGAAGATGAGACACAGAAAGAATCACTTGTCTTATCCTGGATTTCAAAGGATACCATCCCCAGATTATTGAAATGACCTCAATATAGCTGTGTAGACTGGAAACCATCCCCCAGTTATGGAAAGCTGGAGCTGCAGAATATTCACCAACATTCTAACTTCTGAAGAGGAAGCTCCACTCAATCCACTAGTGAAAGCCCAAGAGTTAGAGGAAGCCATCCTTGGTCCTGGATTGCAAGCTCTGGATTAGGCAGTGTGCAACACTGAGCTAACTTCTGGTATTGCAAGCAGTGGTGTCAGAGCACCCTAACTGGACCGGCACCCTCCGGTATGCCCATGATCGGTCACTGGTGCTCAGAAAGACCTCTGTGGAGACTCCCAGAAGTCTGTCTCCAACCAAAGAGAGAAAATACCAGGATATATGAACAGGATTTAAGGCAGGTTCCTATATTCCTTAATTAAAATTGAATTACAGAACAATTTATTTATATTTTTATGCTCCATCAAAGTATTATAAACTCAAGATGGTTTACATAAAAAGACACAAACAGACAGACCATTATTACACAAATAAAATAATCAAAGATTCCTAAGTGCCAGTACTTGCTGCAACTAATTAAAATACACTATTGATTAGAAAAAACTTAAAAGGTTTTGCCCTGGTGCTGGAATAAATAAAGCACCGCCACTGGATACACCTCTCTGGGAGCGTGTTGCATAATCAGGGCATTATTGCGAAGAAGTCCTCCTCCTCTTTACTTCTTTCAAGGAGGTCTCTTGGAGAAGGACCCCATGGATGATCTTTGGGTCCAGGCAGGCTTGTATGGAAGGAAATGTTCCCTAAATTGTTTAGGGCTTACATGTTACTGTTAATTAAAACCAGTTATATAGAACAAATAATGCGAGCCACTTGCTCAAAGCTGCAGCTTTCTATGCTGGATGGTTTTGTTCCTGATTTCTGTTGTTGTTGATATGGTAACGATAGCTGGAAACCATGTAGATAGCAAATTTCAAGAGGAAAGCAATAAAAGATGGGGCAGAAGAGGCAAAAGGTGAGAAAGGACCAAGCATCTGAGCCCATGGAATCGCAGTTCTGTGGAACAAACCCCCTGAAAGATTACCTGCAGGATATTGTAGCGGTGAGCATCACAGAAATCTCGTACCCCGATCTCAGTTGCCATGTACCAGCCGTTAAAGGGACAAGCAGTAAACTCCAACCCTCCAACCTCAAGGAGCATGTTGGAGACAGCTGGAAGTGCGTACCACTTCAAGTCTAGCTCTTTGAACCAGGTGAATCTGTCAGGAGAATCACACAGAATCCAATGAACAAGCTGTGCATCGATTAATTTATGGTATTTTCAGCCTGGTGTTCAGCTCAAAGGAGCTTGGAAACATCATACACAGAATCAGTCAAACGGGACGATCACTCCCCACATACTTTTTTATTTTTATTTATTAGATGTACTGTATATCATGCCTTTTTTCCTATCAAGGATCCCCAGGCACTCTGGATCTTTTTTGAATCCCACCTCCAATGAGCTACCATAGCCTGCTTTTTAGCTCTCAGATCAATTCAACATAATTCCAGCCCAATGAAAGCCAGGAGAGCAAAGCTGGTCAGCTAACAACCTTGCTTTGACCCTCGCCCGCCCGCCCGCCCGCCCGTTGGGTGCAGGCCCGGAATGCCTGCATCCGAAGCCAAGATGCTCACGTGGGATGCTCTATCGGCACTTCAAGGACAAGCTCTGGCGGCAGTTCAAATAGTTCTGGGTCTTGGCCGTTGGCTTGGAGGATCCATGGAAGAACATCAAAGCGGCCATACCTGGGCTTCCAACCAAGCTGGATACAGAGCTGGGCAAAGGGAAAGAAACATGTTTGTCTTGCACACCGCCATGAGAGACCTTTAACTCTTTGGGTGCTTCCTTCAGGGCTGGGAATGCCCTTGAGCCCCATGATCCACCGCCATCCCAATCACCTCTGCCATGCAGCCCAAACGGGGAAACACCATGTGTATGAAAGAGAAAGACTCAGCAAGTAGAAAAGGAGAGCCGGGAGTTGGGAAGTTCAGAACTGGAAGCGGGAAGATGGCTTCCACTCAAGGGTAGGCATGGCTGACCTTCTGTAGATGGCCCACACCCCAGCAGGTTCCCCCAAACAGGAGCACCTTGGAGTCGCTTCTCCTCTTCCCCACAACAGCCAGCCTGTTCCCCCACTCAGGGAGAAGTCCGGGCATCTTTGTTTTCGGCTTTGTTTTCGAGCATACCTCGGTGAATGCCACAGTAGCTGGATCTCCCATGATGGAACCATCAGGCATTTGGTAGCCAGCGTATCGGATGAGCTGGCTGTTCCATATCCGGAAATCATGTTTCCCATCGGTTCTCTGTGGAAAGATGGTGATCGCCGACCTGTTTGAAGAGACAGAGCAGATGACAACCATCCCTGTGGTTGCAGGAATTCAGGTGGGGTGAAAGAAAAGAAGCCATACCTTATGTTTCCTCCATTTGTTGAATATTGCACATGGCGACAGAGGTGCTCAAACATTTCCTTGGCAGTGGAACAACTACGAGCATCAAACACCTACGATGTTCCAGTGTGGAAACAAAAGAAATAGTTAATGACTCGAGTTAGCGTTCCAAAAGAGGCAGTGCAAAATTAAACAGAGGAAACCCCAGAGGCTTTTAGGTTGGGGGAAGACTGAACCTTAGACCCAGAATCCAACCCTGGCTTCTCTAGAGGGCCACCCCTTTTTCCCAGCCCCATGTCAACCACAGAGCCTTTGGTGGATTCCTGGGTTTTGTGTAGTTGTTTTCCCCACTCCGAAATATTGGGATCCTGATCCTGAAGGCCAGTGACTAAAAGAAAGAGTGCTAAGCTCAGCTAGGTGGCATTTTCAAAAAAATGGCTGTGTCGCATCGCACACGCGCCAGTACTGAAATGTAACTTCACCCCTTGTGGGAGACTTCATTCCGTGGTCTAACAACCTCCCCTACCTATGGTAGAATGAAGGAAAGGCTCTGAAAAGAAACCAGCAAAATAAAGACAGGAAGCTTCTCGGCTCGTTGCAGGAAAGCACCAATAATAACTGATAACAAGCTGAGGCTCCATATGGAAAGTTCGGTTCATCATTCATGCCAAGCGATTCTAGGTAAGTTCGGGGTGTTAATGTTCATGTTTGTTGCTCAGTCTTGTGGGGGCTTGTCATGATAAGATCCTGGACATGCACATGGTGGGCATGTCATGAGTGGAACCAGCTGGAGCCGGGGGTCAGACTAGGTGGCCCAGGAGGTCCCTTCTGACTCACTCTGTTTCTATGTTTCTATTTACCACCATGTCTGGGGCTGCCCCCAGGTTTTTGATAGCCCTTGGCCAAGAAACCTGCAGTGGGTTTTCATCGTTGAGTCTATCCTCTCCCCACCCTTCTCATGAGCTACTCCTGCTTCTCCTCCTCCTCCTCCTCCTCTTCATCACAGCTACCACTTAGAATCCTACAATAGTAGAGCTGGAAGGGCCAGAGGGCCACCAGGTCCAGCCCTCCGCTCAGTTCAGGGTTCCCAGTTCAACCATCCCTCCCAGAGGACTGTCCGGCTGCATCTTGGATGCCTCCAGGCTGGGAGAGCCCACCACCTCCCCAGAGCACTGCTTGCATTCTCATGCCGCTCCATCAGCCATAAACAGACCAACCCTCAGATCAGGCCCTGATGAGGCCAGAGCCTGGTGAGAAAGCAGAGGGGGATCCAGTCACCTGCAGATTGGACCACTGGATTCTCCCAACACATCGTGGGGCGTTTCTCCAGGCCTGCTTTGTCGCAAAGTTGAGTTCCTCCCCAGTCAGCTGATAGCTTCCTGTTGTCTCTATCTCTTCAGCCACTGCTTCCAAGCGAGCAAGTTTGTTGGGTTGTGGCCTAGGAAAAGCCAAAAGGAATGGTAACCACAGGGAACAAGGAGCAAAGAAAGGGAAACACCTGGCACTGATCTAATTCAAAGGAGCCATTTACAAAAATATCCCTTGGGCTAACTTCCTATCTTCCACATCAAGGGAATACACAGAAGGGACTGTAGGAAAATTCTTCTGCACTGTGCATGAGATAAGGCCCTCAAGCTGGCTTGCCCGCCCCCCTCTTACAAGCAAAATACACACACACAAATATTTAAATTTTTCAAGCAATGGCGATAGGAAGGGCTTCAGTGTTTGGGTGGTCTGGAATTAAAATGAAGCTTAAAATTTCGTACTACCTTGACAAGATATAATAAAAGACATTATAGTGAGATATCATTTCCTTGGCAAAGATAACAATAAGCACTTGATTTCAAATGATTAGATTAGAGGTGTTTTAATAAATCTGTGTAAATTAGGTTTTCAAAGGGGAAGATTAAGGCACCTTTCAAAATCACTCTGGTCTCTAAGCTTGAATGAAGGAATACAGGTGCATGTGTGGCTAAGAAACTATTCCTGATATTTGGTGAGATTGCCAAATTGACCAAGCATATACTGTACTTAGTGATCATTCTGAAAACTGCCATCAGAGCTTGTGGTTTGAAGATGGTTTATACACTCTAGTTTGGTGGGATGTCTGAACCAGCACACAAGAATGGTGGTCTTAAGCCCACTTCCAGAAGCCAATGTGTTCTGTAGAAAGGAATTAATTTATGAAGGTGAGAGTTCAAAAGGAGGAAACCTGAGCCAGAGAAGTGCTTCAAAGCCATGGGTTGCTTGCGGTGCCTTTGGAAGGTGAAATCATGCTTGATATGATTATTGAGTCGAGATTTTCCCACCTCTGCCCCCAAATTTATCCCAACAAAGTTGGCTACTTGGTTAAAATTTCTTTATAGTACACTTCCATTTAGATTCAGCAGATTTCATAACTAGTTGGCTGGCTGAATTTCACTCATTGGTGACGCTCACTTTTTTCGTGACCCACACTTCATGAATTTGCTGTTTCGTTAGGAATTGTGAGCTTCTGAGCATGCGCAGTGTCTGTCTGAAGAACACCAGTCCTGCACATGCAGTGAGTTCACTGGTTTAACTCTCATGGCCTCTTGGTTTCTTGGAGAGGAGGAAGACAATGACCTGCAACCCGTCTTCTTGTCTCCGTATCACAGCAAGGGGAGGTCTGGCCAGTGGGGAGCCATTCATGGTACTCCTTGGTGGTGAACCTATTTTGGCGGTGCAGCTTAGTACCATGGATAGCTCCTACCAAGCTGCTCTAAAGCTGAAAAGAAAAGCTGCAATGGATGAGCAACCCCACTGGTGAGAGGAGATTATCCATTCTTTTCAGAGTCATTTTTACTGTATGTTTTCACTGTTATAAAATTTTTAATGCTGCTTTGATTTCATGGTACTTGCACTGTATTTAATGGAATCATAGAGTAGTAGAGCTCATACGTGCAAGTCCCACCTCTACCATAAAAGTGGTACAGTCCTGGAAAAATGGTACAGTCCTGTAAAAGCCGGATGCCTTGACTTGACTGATTGTACAAGCCAGTGCTATTGGGTGGGATAGAAATGAATAGACAGAGAAGGAAGTGAATCCAGTACAGATTTAACTTATAAGATGGTGAGAACATGAAGTGCTTTGAATGGCTGAATTGTTTATTATTATAGTTTTCTGTGTCCTGAGTACCCCAACCATATTAATGAACATTCAAATATGGAATCCTCTTTTGCAAAGCAGTGCAGAAAAGAAGATGGCGCTACTGACAGAAATGAGATAAAGTTGGTTTCCCCCTCATTGCAATCATCTAAAAGGGCTCCCAGACGAGCAGATGGATGCACAAGATAAGTTAAAAAAGAGAGAGAGTCTCACTCTTTAGATGCGTCATAGAACTGACTGATGAATTCTTTTGCCTGGACTAATAATTCTTCTTTGGGGATGGGTCCATCCCGGGGACCCCTGACCAAACTTTGGGGGTTCATGAGAGATCCCTGACAAACGCGGGTGCGGCAGTTCAGAACCTGAAAAAACAAAGAGACAAAACGGTGAGAAGGACAGGTCAACCCGTGTCCCCGCGTCTCTGGAGGTCCATCATCAGAGCGATTCAGCTAGCGAGTACAAGGGGAAAGGGCCTCGTTAGTGGTAGTTCCACACTTCAGGTCTTCAAGAAGGATGAAGGGGAGTACAGACCTTTCCTGGAAGCCTCAGCTCACCACATCTAAGCATCCCATTGTTCGCTCGTGACACTGGGGGTTTTGTTTTGAACGAGTGGGACCTGCTACACAAGAGTTAGGCTTCCAGCCGGCCAGGTCTCCTCCTAGCCGATTCCATTCCATCCCATCCCTGGCATTCCATTCCCCTTCCAGGGGTCTGTAGTTGTCGCTGTCCCGATACAATTAATATATTGAACAGAGAGGTGTGTGCAATGATAGAGTGAAAAAGAAATCCCCAAAGCATCGTCTCACCTCTTTTGCCTGGTGGTGCAGCACATCTTGGAAGCTCGACCCGTTTTCCCAGTTTTTAATTTTTAAGTTCCTCAGGCACCCAATTGCTTCCCTGGAGTTATTTTGCACAGGTTTCTGAGCAGAAAGGAAACCGCAAGATTACATATGAAATTGCTCCTTTGTCACCTTACTTAAATCATATGGTTTTCCATGTTAAGATGAGATCCCTGCATTTCCATGCATCATCATTCTTCTAAATTCACAGCTGTAGGTGAAAGCATGTGTACATTCAATGCAAAAAGTATCCTCTCTCTACGTGAGTCATTCATGGCTATCATGACCCCCCACGGCAACCTGGGCCTCCCAGATGGTAGCCAGATCCTGAAATGACCCCACCCCACTGCCTCCCAAATCTGCACGCACCTTAAGATCTTCAGACTGTCTGGAAAACGGACATCGCAAATCCGCACTCACTTCCCTCGGTGTCTCAATGTGCATGATGGCGTCCAGTTTCCTATATAATTCATTTACGACAGCACCTTCCTGTTTTCCTGAACTAGAAGAACAAAAAGAAATGGATTTTAAGAGAAGGTATTGCTTAAGATGAAAGTATTTCAGGTTAAGCTGAAGAGCAGTGATAGAAGCAGCTTTGTACTTCGCTGTGGGAGGACAAAAGGGCTTACAACTTTAAAGGATCCTGACACTCTGATTTAATCTGGTGGAAGGAGGAGGATTGTATATGCCATCCTGACCAAAGTTAAACACCGGGGGAACTGCAGCTGGATGCCCATTCCCCAGCTGTAGCAAGGCACCCTAGGATGGCAAGAAGACGTCCTTCCAAAGCAGCAAACGTTGACATCGGCTTCCAATTTTTCTCCCTGCTTAAGAGGTCTAGGAGCTTTGCATAAGGAGAATGAGTGAGGTTTAGATCTCATTGCCTCTCTGAGCTTTCAGCTGTGTTGCTTCTCCTGATATCTCACCTTCTCAAAGAGTTGTGCACAACTTTTGCTTCTTAATGCCATTAAGTTAACAACAACCCTGAGAGGTAGGCTCAGTGGAGAGATGGACTGGCCCAAATTCCTGGCTGAGGGGGCCAGTCCGTCTCTCCACTGAGTATGATCCACCCTAGGCCAACACTCTGCTTGCGGCATCCCCTAATTATTCCCTTAATAATATTGTCCAACTATTTTAACCCTAGGATAGGGCACAATGAATTACAGATTTGCACTCTGACAAACCCCCTCCAGTAATATGTCTTTTACTTGAGCGATCCATTTCTTTCCTTCTGACTTTAGGCTTGCCAGACAAGCAAGAGAGATCTTCCATCTATATTCTTTATGGCTTAAATTACACCTCTCTCAACTTTTTTATAATTAGCATTCTATCCAGTACTATATAAAGCTAGCCTAAAGAATCTTTTTCTTTAATTTTAGATTCCTGCCAAGGCTCTTGTTACTTTTATGTGTTCAGCAGTGTAGACTCGCCAGGTTTCACTCTTCAATGGAGCTGACTGTGGTCCTGAACCAATGGAAAGCATCATTCATCAGCACCAAGGATAGCTCCTTAAAAGTTGGGGGCCCATTAACACCATCCAACAAGCTCCTCCGAATATAGGGCGATCCTGTGTCATGTAGTTCTTTTCATGATTGCTGATATTCCGTGTGCAAGAAAGAAACATGAAAAGCAGATTCCGGTGGCAATAGCATGCCGAAATAAAGCTCGGCAGCAATTTAGTAAATGCAAAAAATACATCCTGGAACAATGCAGTGAATTCAAAAGGTGCACAGTGGCTTCAGTCCCACTCTGCCATTGAGTACAGTCCAGTAGTTCCCCACCGGGGAACCCTCGTCTCCACCTGTGCCTGAACAGCTCAGAAAAAAATGTTAGAAGTCCATATTCAGTCCGGCACTGAAGTTTCCTTAGAAAGTTATTTCTTTAGACAGAGAAACTCCGTCCCTCTTTGGGGGACAAACTACTTATGAATCCTGATGGAGAGGGCCGTGGTTGCTGGACTGTGTATTGCCATGAGTGAGAAAGCGTCGCAGGTTTGAGCAAGCCAAGAGATGATAGACAGCTGAAGAGTCTCCAACTGAGCCTTAGGACCAGATGTGGGGTGCCTTCCAAATGTTGGGACTACGATTCCGTAAGGGATTCCAATCAGGGATTTTGGAAACTGTTATCCAGAACTCTGTTGGGCTGTGCATTGCTTTTCTCTGCTTTGCATGTATATTTGTAAATTGAGAAAAAAAATGCAAATGATCTGGCTCTGGGGCTGCCCATGGAGACACTGGAATTTCTGTATGCCGAATAGTTACGGGGTCCATCTGATTCCACATTGCTGACTGGGGAAAAGGGGAGTGCAGGAGAAAAGGGGAGTGCAGGAGAAAAGCCATTAATTTCTGCTGCACCGCTCTGGTAAATGCAAGATTTCAGCTCAGTTAAATCAGGAAAGGTTGTGCAGGATATTCCTGGAGTGATGCAAAGACTGGAGAACCACCCAGAAGCCCAAACAAAGGAACCACATCAAGTCACTTCAGATACGAAGTTTTACCGTTCTAGTTATAGCCACAGAACAAAAGCAGGGAAAGTAATTGACAGAGCCCGTGACTTTGGGGGATTAACTGGGTGGATATTTCAAGGGGTCCCTGACCAATCATTTGCTAAAAAAATAGCTGTGAATTTCCTTGTTTTCCGGTATAATAATGACTTTTGAACTTGTCTCTTCCTTTTTGTTTTGATCTTTGTGAGGAAACAAGAAATAGATTATTTCTTTAAATATTGCATCCTTATCCCACCCTTCCTTTAAAGTGCATCAGGTTGTGTACTCTGGGATTTTTCTCTTCCCACATTTAGCATCACAGCTTCTGGCCTCCGTTCCGCATGCTCTGGGAACCTCTCTCCTGGATTACCGTAACGCTCTCTGCATGGGGCTGCCTTTGAAAATGGCCCAGAAATTCCACCTGATTCAAAACGGGGCAGTGTGACTACTAATGGCTTGACAGTGACGTACTGGTCCTCTTTCAGCTGCACTGGCCGCCCAGCTGAAGGCCTGGCTCAATTCAGAGTGCTGGTTTTAACATTTAAAGCCCTCAATGGCTTGGGGCCAGGCTACCTGAAGGAGCGCCTTGCTCTGTATCTTTCCATCTGGCCCCTAAGTTTCTCTACTAACCAATTTGCCTTCTTTCTTTGTCAGAGTGAAGCCTGCTGTTCTTGATGGCGTCACCTTCTCATAGTCCTGTCTTTGCCCACCCCCAAAGCACGGAGATGGGGAGAGTCCTGGTAAAACCCTGGAAGGTAAACACCGTCCAACTTTCTCTGTCTCTGTCAGCTTTTGACGGAGTGAACACGAAAGAGGCTGTTTTTGGACAAGCCTTTCTGAAGTGGAGCTACAAAGGCTCATGGGAGATCCAGCGTTGTTGCCTTTGAAGGGAAGTTTGCTTTACCTTAGGAAACACCGGAAATGGTCCCGAGGTCCTGCTCTGAATGAATCCAAGGCACTTCCTGAATATATATTACCCATGGAATAAGGGCCAAATATGGGGAATGGCCACTGAACCCCAGCAGGTTCAGCAGCCTGAATGTATGTTTAATGTTGGAAAGAAAGATAAAAATTTATAAGCTGCTGTATGGGTAAGTATATTTTTAAGGAAACAGCACACAGTCAAAGAAAGCAAACCGACAGGCAGCTGGGAATATCCAACTGTGCTGAAGGGTGGCCATTGAATGATGAAGGTGACTTGATAATTATCAAGGTATTTCCCCATATACTGCAAAAATGTTGAAAAGATATGGTCCCATATGGGACCATATTCCAGGCACAATCATATGCACAATCCTAAGGCAGTGTTTTTGTATTTGATCATAAAATGATAAAAAAATGTGTATACATCTTTACACACAACAAAACCATATTCATATTCATAGTGTAATCATCCATAACGAATCGCCAGCAATTGCAAAAACTCAAAGCAATGGGCCTGCTAAATTTTTATCCTCAAACTGAAAATTGGGCTTGACTCTTTAAGTGAGCAAAGGGGGTGCCAATAGATAGGAGAAGGCTAAACCTGTAAGTGAAAAACTCATTGCGTTTCTATCTGTCCTTCCCCCAAACAGAGCAGCCAAGACCTAGAAGCCGTGGGCTCTTGCAGTGGTCCTCAGTTCTCTCTACTTGCCATTGGAGGTTACCTGAAGGAGCGCTTACGTCCATACATGCCCGCTCGCCCCTTGAGATCAGTGGGGGAGGCCCTTCTCTGGGAACCCTCCGTGAAGGAAATTAGGAGGGTAAGTACTCAGAGGAGGGCTTTCTCTGTGGTGGCACCCAATCTATGGAATGCGCTCCCCAGAGAGGTCCGCCTGGCGCCGTTGTTATTTGTTTTTCGGCACCAGGCGAAGACCTTTTTATTCAAACGTTATTTTAATTGTTAATATTATTTATTTATTTATTTTATTCTTTGGCCAGGGCGACTTAATTTATACTGTTAAATTATATTGTTTTATAGGATATTTTTTATTTATGTTTGTGAGCCGCCCCGAGGCTTTGGCGAATGGGGCGGCATAGAAGTTCCCTAAATAAATAAATTGTGGCGGTGTGCAGGTTATCCCAGACAGCGCATGCATGCCCCCCCTAGTTGCGAACACCCTCCAGCTCAGCTTACCTTTCCTTTTTCCTGAATGGATGGGCACTCTCCAGAATGAAAGTCCACCCTGCAGATCCCTGCAGTTTATATTTTCAAGAAATGCCTCTCGGCTCCATGTGGGTCCCAGAGGCATTCCTGAAAATTAAGATGGTGCTTAGATTTGCAGGATGCTGGCTTTGCGGCTTGAATGAGTGGAAAGATGAGTCCTTTTTTAAAAGTGTGCAATGAGGCAATCCTACAGAGATGCCAAAAACCTCCAAAGAGGGAGGGTTAGGACATCCTGTGCGCGGATCGCCGGGTGGATTGCTAGGTGGATTTTGGCTGCCTGTTGGTACTTCTGAGGGGGAGAGGAGAAGGTGCTGCCAGGTTACATCATACCTCGTGGGAGCCAGTCTCTCCTCTCCTGCTCCTCACTCGAGGAAGTTTTTTTCCGCTTGAGGCGTGAGCAAGAGGAGCAGGATCCAAGCAAGATCCCCAACTCTGGGGCTGGAGCGGTTTTGCGACTTCAGAGCTGGGAATTCCAAACCATCCCGTGGGCTCCCTGGATGCTGTCCAGCGGGCCATGGGGACATTCCCCCTGGGTGTAGTTCAATGTGTTTGGACAGAAGGTCCGACAACTCTTAGCATGGTCCAGCCAGCCATAGGAAAGGACTATAACAGCTGTAAGGGGTGGGGAGAGCACAACTTCCAGCTGCAACCTTCGAATTTTGTTCCTGTGGCTGCACCTTGAGCTCCCAAAGAAAGACCGGATATAAACAAATTCACTAAAGAAACAAACCAGGTAGGGATGATATTACAATCTCTCAAAGCAGTAATCAATTACATGTTCTGTGTGAAATGCAGCTGCTCTGAATTTATTGCCATGCATTTCAGTTTCAGTTGTCTCATTCCTCAGGTAACCCCCTACATTCTGGGAAAACAAGAAAAGCCAGCAAGCTCACCTTTTAATGTTCCTGGTGTTTTTTTCCATGTTATTGTTAATATCCTTCTCTTCTTGGGACTCGTTTTTACCGGTTTGAGGCTTAAAAAGTAACTGCCAAGGGCACATCATTTTCCTCATATTCGGAGACTGTTTGGCAGCACTCAAACCGTGTTTAACCAGGTGGACACCTTTCTGTGAAGAAAGAGATAAAACAACATTTTCAGGAATGAAGAATTACTGTTTTTTGCTCCCAGAGAGAAGGACCGAATCAAAAATCTCTCCCAAACATCAAACTTTCCGCTGCTGTCTGTGAGGCAGGTATTTTAGACTCTGACCTTAATGGTCTTACACACGCCACATCCCACCTGGAAAAGGTAATGGGTTTTGCTTCATTTACTTCAAATGGTCTTACCAGGGCCCCTTTCTGTAGGTGGGAAGGTTTGTTAAAGTCCTATGCTAGTTTAGACAGAAAAACTGAGGCATTCTGGGAGTTGCACAGCTTCTCTTCCATGTTCTTCCCACTATGCATAAGGTATCCATACTCTTCCAAGTTTGGCAGTTCAGGGGCAGCCTTACCAGATTTAGCTGTTTACTATCACAGCCTTGTCTATTAATTTTATCCATTAAAAAGCTGTCGCTCATCCCCAAGACACGCCAGATTGTGAATGGATTGCTATTAAAAGCAAATCAGCTCTACCAGCAACAATCACCAGGCAGTCATAAACATCTATGTATAACCAGCAAAGGAATAAACCAATTCATTGAAAAGGAAACTGAAGCAGTGGGACAAAAATTGACAAATTTGATTTGGCACAGAAAGGACAGCAAAATTGGCATTTTAGGCAGGGGTACTTCGGTCAACCTTGCCAAGTTCAGTGGGGTTTATTACCAGTTAAGCTCATACAGGGCTTTTAGCCTTGGTGCTATTCTAGAACAAGGGTGATCAAAACTCAGGGGCTACAACCTTGCCCACAATTTTGATAGCTGAATTGGTGGCTGAAATTCAGTGGCGTGTCAGTAGCAAGAAGTGGCCATTTCTGAGGGAAGCGTGTGCCTTGACTGGAAACAAAATCTGGGAGTCTGATTGTCTATCTCAGTATGGCGTGTGTGCCTTGCAAATTTGCTGCCCTTTTCCTGCGGCTCCAGTGGCAAATTTAGCAGTGAGGGCGACATAAAAGGCCAGTGTGGGTTGCCTTGTCCTAAAAGCCCAAGTTTAGAGCTTCCTGTGATCCTAATTAATTAAAATCATTTCCTAATTTTCTTTCTGGGTATGGCACCCTCTTGGGACTGAGGGTATCTAGGCAAGTATTTCCTCTGTCCAAAATGTTATTTCTTCCAAATATTCTAGAGGGAGGCAAAGGAGATCAGCCTTAAGGGCTGATTCACACCCTATGCTTTCCAAAGACATTTTGCAGTAAAAATGGGAATTAAACAGATTCCGTACTTTACCATTCACAGGACCCTACCTTCAGTCATATTTTGTCTAATTAGGAATTTAGCAAGGGCCCCCTGGACCTTGAATCACTAGCTCTGTTCTTGCAAAGTCTGATCCTTTCATTGCTTCCTTCCTTTGGAGCAGAGCTCAAAGCGATCACTGATGAATTTCCCATATATTAGCCAGCTTCTGTCTCCCCTAGCCCAACTCCCCACAGGGAACAGGTCTTTAATAGGCAATTTCCGCCTCTTATTTTTATTCCTGTTTTGTAATGAAAGAGGACGACACAAGGAAACCAGGGATGGAAGGCAGCCTAGCCCAGAGAACAGTGAATGTGGCTAGATCGCTAGATAAGGACTAGGATCCAAGCCACTGGGAAAAGAAAAGAAAAAGATTCGGTATTTAAGCCTATAGATTTAAATGAGAAAGACTACTATCCTAGAGATGAACAGGCATCAAAGAAAACATGCATTGTCTAGCCCATCCCTGAGCATTCTTAATCAGGCTTAAAATATTAATCAAAAGAGATGCTTGTCATTGTCAAATCGTTCACTCGTTCACTCGCTACCCATTCCAAATACTGCAACAAAGCCAGGTTTCATTTATTACAGAAACAGAATAATGACGAAACAACATCTTCAAACTTCTGCATTTTGTTCAACAGGAGTTAAACGGGTGCACAGAGCAAGCCTGTGTGTGTTTACTTGGAAGTAAATTTCACTGAATGCAGTGGAACTCACTCCTGAGTAAAAGGGTTCAAGATTACCCTCTTAATTTGGGGCAGAACAAGTCCATTGTTTTCTTTAAAAGCAACAATTAAAGAGACAAAAAAATACACACTGCAATAGTCTTTTCCTTTGGGTTGCCAAGAAATAATGTCAGAACCGACAATTAAATTGGGTTATATTTTGGGAAGTTTGCCTTTGATAGAAGCAAAATATTTAAAATATTAAATATTTTTTAATCTGGAATAAAACATTTTAGAAGATCACATCTGATTTCTAGTCAATGAAATAATGCTATATAAGTTCTTAAAGTTTTTTATAACTGTGCAATCCATTGTGCATCGAGACAGGCAATTCTAGGACAAGATACAATCAAAATAAGCCTGAAATTCTGTGCACAATTACCTGAGGGAAAGTGGCATTTAACTCCTGAGTAGACACACATCGGATTGTGCCATCAAAGGCTTTTAAGCTCCTGTTGACTAAAGGTTAAAGAGAGGTTAAAGGTCTCACTTCAGTCCTTCCTGCTGGAAAAAAGGTTTAACCACTGTCAAATTGCAGTTTGTTATTTCAAATTTTCTGCAGAGTCAGCTGTTCTGATTGGCATCCTTCTGTTTTGAACAGGTTAAGAATTAAGAAACTTGTCGTAATTACCTTTGCCACAACCCACCGGTCAACCTGCCAGATGTGCCAGCTGTATCACCATCCGTTTACCATGCTAATTTTCTCTCTCCGACGCTCATGAACTGCGTAAGAAATTCTGAATCTCTCACACTTAGTTGCATCTCACACTCATGCCAAAGCCTTTCAGACCAAGCCTGGGAACGCTCCGTCTCGGCTATTTTTTTCCAACTGGCAGAGCTGAACTGAAATAGTCCTTTCGCCCCAGCTGGCTGGCAAAAGAATCGTCTTACCTTGAATGAATTTCCAACAGTCCAGCTGGGAGAATGCCTTTGTGATCACAGGGGCTGTATTTCGCACTTCAGCAGCTCTGAAGTTCAGCTCTGAAGTTTTGACCATCTACAAAGTTACCGCTTTTTGTACTTTCTTCATATGCAAATCACAGTAGATGATGGAGGGGTGTAAATGGATTTTGATCATCAATTCAGGAAATTCCCTGGGCACTGGGTGTTTGTTTGTTTTGAATCACAGACAGACACATTTACTACTCCTTGACTTACTAACGGGATATGTGCCACGTGTTCTCTGAGATCTGCAGAATCTGAGCATCCTAGTGTAATAAGGAAATATTGACACTCTGTACTATTTTTGGACGAGAACTGATGACTAAACATAAAAAGGAAATGTGAAACAGTGGGCAGTCTTTCAGTTATGACGCCCCCAAACAGCAAACCTGGGTGAGAAGTAATGATGGAAGTGGAATCAGAGCAGGAGCACTAAAAAGCAAGAGGGAGATTTTGGCTTTCTTAGGGAAATCTGGCGTTTTGCAGAATTACAAGGGAACCTTTCAAAAGGCACAAGGGGCCATCCCACCTGCGAAAAACGAGGGGCAAATGTTGGAGAGTGGGGAGTTGTCATGTTGTGTGATGGGATGTAGGTTGGAAGAACACAACCAGATGCTTCATTTCCGTCCTTTGCCACTTACAGGAACCATTTTCTGGCTGGGGACCAACAAAAGCTATGCTGGCTAGAGAGGATCGGCGTTGGCCTGCTCATCGTGAAGGTACCTGGTTAGGTGACATGGAGGCTGTGTGAAATTTGCAGCAGAACTCATGTATTCCTCTGCTTGTGAAGGTTTTCTTAATGAGTGCACTCAAGAGGAAAAATATAAAGAGGGTGGAAAAGGAAGAAAGAGGAAAAGGTCGTCTTAGCTCCTTTCCACACGCTTTGCATAATTTCCTCGTGGGACTTCATGGCACAGAATGTGAGGAGAGGTGCTGAGATTCCCTTCATCCTTGGGATTTGCGGAATGCATACCAAGAAAGGCGAGTGGAAGTACCATATTCAGGAGCAGTGCACCTGTGAATGCCAGGGGCAGGGATTAGAAGCAAATACCTGCACAGAAGTTCTTCAAACCACTTCCAAATGAAGTTTCCAGCTTAGGGTGTCCCTAAAAGTGGCCCCTGTGTGTTTAAAGGAATGACATTGCTGAATTGGGATGCCAAAGATGCTCCAAAATGAAAGTCCGGGGTTTCCCCCCATTACTTTGGTCTTAGCATAACTTATATTAAGATATTCTTCCTTGCAATTTTGTCCCAACTGCTCTAAAAGCCTTCTTAGACTAATCTTAGTCTGGGAAATCAGGGCCATATCATTAGCATATGAGCCAGTGTGGTGTTGTGGTTAAGAGCTGGGACTGGGACTCAGGTGATCTGGGTTTGAGTCCCCACTCAGCCATGGAGCCATCGGGGTGACTTTGGGCCAGTCACAGACTCTCAGCCCAACCTACATCACAGGGTTGTTGTTGTGAGGATAAGATGGAGGAGGAGATGTAAGCTGCCTTGAGCCCTTTGTAGGAAAAAGGCAGGATAGAAATCAATCAATCAATCAATAAAATATAACAAAATTGGAATTTGTAATTGACCCAATGATGGGGGTCTGAATTATGGACCTGATAAGCTTTCTGCTATGTTATTTATGTACAAATTGAATAATAAGGGGGCCAGGACACACCCCTGCTGAAATCTGTTTGCATATTCTTGAGCTTAGGTCGATCCTGCCACATCTTCTCCAAAACCATTTGGAGAAAACCAGTTGCCCAAGGCACCAATGTTGGCATCCACAGAAACTTGTCTGGTTGCCTTACTGGCTACAGGTCATACGCCCAGTGCATGTTTGAAGCCTTCCAGCGTTTATTCTCCGTGTCGCAGCCAGATCCCCAGCATGGAGAAAGTGCTGTGTTTTGTAAACTAGGATGACTCTATCCCTAGTCTGGCCTAACCCAGTGATGGATTGAGCTGCTGGCTGGAGCAAATTCATGAGGCCAAAGGTTTCCCACCTCTGGTTTAATTCTAGCCCACATTTTTCTGAATCCTTTGCTATCTTTTGGATTCTTCTCTCCTTCTCAGACTCTCCTCACAGCTGTTTCTCTGCTGCAATCTCTCATCCCCAGGGCAGGGCGCTGGTTTGCACAGATGTTCTGTTAGACTGGTAGCAATTCAAGCAGCCCGATGAAGGATTCCGCAATAGGAATATTGGCAGATGATGCCGCAGACTAAAGAAAGCAAGGGAAACAGAACCAGTTCCTAAAATTAGAAGCAGATCTAAGAATTTAGGAGGTCAACTATGGGGTGAGCAAGAGAAACTTGTCTTGCATTTTTGTTGTGATTCTTTCCCGTTGTCTGTAGCCAACTTGTCATTGAATAGCTGTCCGCCTAGTCACCTATGGCGAATGAGAACAGTTCCAGGCAACACCATCCTAGATCATACAAACATCTGCCGCAGCTTCCTAACATCAGCAGTGGCCAAATGGATGCCTCCTAGAAGCTTACCAGCAAAGCAGAAAGATATTATTATTATTATTATTATTATTATTATTATTAGAACATTTCCATGCTATTTCTAATAGCATTCCCTTCATGCATGTTTCACAACAAGAGGTGGCTGGCCAGGGAACTAGGAGTTTATGCTTAGCTGTCATAGCTAAGTGGTTACCGGTAGACCAATTCCCTTATGGCTCAATATCAGGCATGTTGAACCATAGGTCCATCCGGCAAATCTCTCCACTCCAGAGATGGCCACACCCTCCTTTCTCCAACTGCAAAATGGTAGTTTTCCCCATCTTTGTGCAATCTAAAAGTCCGAAATATCTCCCCTACAGCAGATTTACTAGCAGCAAACACATCAGACTAAAATATGCTGACATTTTTCGTATTTTTCACCAAGCTACTTCCTCCATCCATAGCTAGAGCACAATCCCCCTGCAAGTTTCTCCAAAACTCAGTTTGGCCCTAATTGGCGTCCCTAGGAGTAACTGTTTTAATTTAAACAGTGTTACTGTATTTGTAATAATGAACTGCTGTTTTAAATTGTATTTTTAGAGCCGTTTAATATTATTAGGATGCCATTCTATGTGAGAAAAACGGCCTGTAATTCCCAGCGTGTTTGTTTTGTGTTTCTGTCTGAACACATGCAGCATTCCGCCCTTAGCGACTTTGTGCAAACTTTGGGTTTTGAAAAACTAGGGGCCTAGGCAGCTCAAACACTTGTGCCCTCTGATGTGCTGATGCTGGACTCCAAATGATGTTGTGGTCATTCTTCTCCTCCTCCTTCCAAGCAGACCAGGACCAGGACAAAGGCTTTCTAACAAAAAACGGCTTTATTATGCAAATACTAGCCAATTGGGTTGATTTTGTAATGCAAGAGAAGAGCATTGCAGAAGTCAAGAATAAAAGAAACAAGAATACTTTGAATCCTGGTTTTAGGGATAAAAAGTTGTTTCTGAATGGAAGATCCCCTTCCTCCTTCCAAACTGAAGAGCGCAACTCTTCCACCTCACCATGGTGGATCCTCCTCCTCAGAGGTCAGCTGCTCAGAGCATCCCATGCTTCTCAGCCTGTCTGTCCTCTCAGCAGGATGCTATGCCCTTTGATCAATGATCCAGTGTTAATGCCCGCTTGCACAAAAGACCAGCACTGGCTGGTCAATGACCGAATAAAGGATTGATTGATTGATTGATTGATTGACTGATTGAGCAAAAGATGTCTGACAGTCCATAAAACACAGCCAGAAAGAATTTAGCAAAATATGCATGTCTAAAACTAATACAGGAGATCATCACTATCTGGTTAAAATGAGCAGAGTTTGGGACTCTCTAGGTACCCTTATAGCTCGCACTAAAAAACCAGCAACAGGAGTAGAAATACAGTGGTAAACTTGATGCAAAGGAGCAATTTATGACTGTGTGTTGGGTTGTCAAGACACCTTCTTGATTGAGCTCTTGATTGAAATGGGGTCACCACAAGCTCCAGATTGGAAAGTCAGGAAAAGACAGCCAGTGCCCAAGCGGTGGACGCATCAGCCAGGAAAAAAGTGTAGCTGAAGACACACCCAAAGCTCATGAAGTTTCCAAAACCCAGATAGTGTTGAGAAACATAGTTTAAGTCAAACTTTCGGTTTTGGTTTGCTGTCAGCTTCATATGCTTACTCAAAAATTGCACGTTGTCCTTCGTGGTTTTCCATAAACTCGGGGTGGATGGATGAGTCAGCACAGTTTTTTTCTGCCCAATAAATGAATTAAACCCACTCCACAAAGCATCGCTCATGGCAGGAGTATTTAGATAACTGTTATGTGAGTGCTGGTGAAGGGGAAAAACATGAAAAAGGAAAGTACAGATGAGGAATGGGGATTTTCCTCATAGAGCCAATGGATTAAACACGTCTGTGTTCTTAGGTGTGTGTACCTGAGATTAAACTGAACCAGGATAGAGACAACAACCCCAAAGCATGAGCAGTATTTGAATTCTAAGTCAGCCTGCTTGAGGTCAGAATTTGAGGTCTGGGAATTCCAAGGCAATGCAAGGTGAGCCACACTTTCTGGACAATGGGAGGATGATAAACTGACTTTCTGAGTCTCAGGGATTTAAAATAATAAAAAGAATAGTCCTTTTCCCTAAGGTACAGCTCCTTGTGAATCCCCTTCAAAAGAAGACATGGATCCCCCAAGATGGAGGACAGAAGGAAAAGCCTGTTTGCATAATGTGTGCATATGCTATTGTATATGAATGTATGCCAATTCAAATGGCATTACTACAATGTAAATAAAAATATAGAAACATAGAAACAGAGCAAGTCAGAAGGGGTCTCATGGGTCATCTAGTCTGACCCCTGGCTCTGGCTAGCTTTGCTCACAACATGCCCACCATGTGCATGTTTAGCCTATCCTTGTAAACCCTCACTGATGGGGACTCAACCACCTCCCATGGAAATACGGCATGTTTCACTATCATTGGAAAGGTGTGACTGCCTTAGCTGGGTGGTTTGCTTATCTACTGACTGACTTCTTCCAATGAGCAATTTTCCCTGTGAGAAAATTCGGCTCGTCATCCTAAAAACAGACTTGGACAGGACCGCCCTTCAAACAGAGGATAACTTCAAACAGTGGATGGTCCCCTGACGTTCTAATATGGAACTGTTCTCCAGAAAAGAGGACGACATATGGCTTTCTTGTCGGGGGCTTTGACTGAGGCCTTTGTCATCCTCTTGAGCTGCTCCTGCTAGCAGGGGTCTTTCCCAGCCTCTCAACCCCAGATCAGGGGCAGACAAGGCCTTTAAACCCAGTGCTCCATTCAACCAAAGACACTCTCCCCCACCAGCTCCAGTGTTATGGTCTCAAGGGCAACAGCAGCTACAGCAATTCATTACAGTCAGTGACCAGTTTGTCCTTAATAAAGAATTTACAAATAGGACCATAGGTTAAAATATTCCAATTATTAAAAGGCAAAATAACAATGAGCGAATGATATCAAATTGATTAAAATTACCTGTTACAATTTCTAATTAAAAAACATTGCATACAATATTTTTGTGAATCTTGCAGGCAGCTGCGAAAAGCCTGGCACAGCAAACTGTGAGCTGGGCACTGGTGCCTATAAGAAGCTGGAGCAACCTCAGGATCGGCTCTGCCTGGTCACCTCCTGAACCGATGAGACATGAACTTGGCCCGTATTTCGTGATAAAGCCGTGCAATGTTGCAATCGTCTCAAAGGTGGTGCAAGCGTTGCCCGGCTCGCCCTTCGCTTCACGTGGCCTCCTTTCTTCTTCACACACTTTCATCATGTCAGGCCAGTGAAGGATGGGTCCAGTTGCTCCGGTCGGGACCGCAGCAGCGTGTCTGCTGGAAACTTTCGGACTGGGTCAGCTGCCCGATCGGCGCAACGTTTTCCAGCATTTTGACAGCAGATGCCGTGAGACAAAACTTTTCAGGTTGGGAGACCGCTGGAAGTTCAAATTCCAGCTCAGTTGTAAAGATGTTTAGAGCCAAAGCAGAATCAAACTTTACGGGCAAAACAAACGTCGGTTAAATTTCCATCCCCTGCCCCCATCAGCTGTTTCCAACATTGAGGGCGGTGCATCACATCAGCCAAAAATAAAAACAGTATGTAAGGGCAACCTAAAAATAGAACTAAACAAGTTAAACAAAGGTTTGCACAGTAAGGGGGCAAAGGATAAAATCAAGATTTTAAACAAAGCCTGCTTCGGTGAAGACACAGCTTCCATATAGCCTGAAGGGCCTGATCCTGCCTCCTCTTGGAAGCTAAGTAAGGTCAGGCCTGGTTGAAATCTGGATGGGGGACTTAAAATGTTGTGAACCACCCAGAGAGCTTAGGCAACAAACAATGTAGATATGTAATTAATTATTATTAATAACACTTCATGTTCCTAAGAACAGGCAGTGAAGAGTTGAGCTGTGCTTCCTCAGAAGACCATTCCACAGCCTGGGTGCCACCCCCAAAAGGTCTTCGGGACTGGATGGCAATACGGGGAAGAGGAGCATTGAAAAGGCCAGTTTTTATCTGCAAAATGTGGGCAGGTATGAATCATAGAATAGGAGAGTGGGAAGGGCCAGAGGGTCCAACCCTCCGCTCAGTGCTGGACTCCCAGATGCACCATCCCTCTGAGATGGCTGTCCAGTTGCATCTCGAACGCCTCCAGGGTGGGAGAGCCCCCCACCTCCGTCGCTCATGGGTCCCATTCTTGTTCTTCTCTAACAGTCAGGAAGTTCTTCCGGTTATCTAGCCACAACCTGGCTTCTTGCAACTTGCGCCCATTATTCTGCATCCTGCACTCCAGGATGATGGAAGAGAGATCCCGGGCTTCCTCTTTGTGAGAGCCTTTCCGAGGATATTGCTATCCTATCTCCTCTCGGTCTTCTCTTCTCTAGGCTTAACATGCCCAGTCTTTTAGTCTCTTCCCTTTGTTTCCACTCCCCGGATCATCCTTGCTGCCCTCCTCTGAGCCCTTCACCGGTTTATCTGCATCTTTCTTCAACTTGGGTGCCCAGAACTGGACACAGGACTCCAGGAGGAATGCACTCCCCAGAGAGGTCCGCCTGGCACCGTCATTATTTGTTTTTTGTCGCCAGGCTAAGCCCTTTTTATTTAAAAAATATTTTAACAATGCTTAATATCTATAGGTTTTAATTACGCAGCCAGGGTGTTTCCGGATTTTAATTGTATTTGTATCATATTTATTTAATTATGTGAGCCGTGCCGAGACTATAAGCGATGGGACGGCATACAAAACCTCTAAACAAACAAACAAACAAACAAACCCAGTGCTGAGCAAAGGGGAACTAGGACTTCACATGATTTGGAAGTGCTCCTTCTATTAATGCAGACCAAAATGGCATTTATCGCTGGCTTCTTATTAATTCATTTCCATGATCCTAGGAAGCAGCACGAGGGAAGCCCTTGGTCCAGCTACAGCAGGCCCCAACTGTGCATAGAAGGCAGATTGCCTTCTACCAGCAGGTCTCTGGGTGATTTGCTGTAGATCTGTAACAGTTTCCAAATCCCAGTGGATTGACAAGAATGAGCATATTCCCACCCCTTCACCAAATCAAACTTGCGGGGAAGGGGAATAGATGTGCTTCCTAGGCCCCACTCAGCCATGCACTTGGATGGGGGACTAGGGGCCAGTCACAGACTCTCTGCATAACCTACCTCGCAGGGGTGTTGTAAGGATTACAGTGCAGGAGTTGCAAACTTGCCAGCTTTTTGGGCCCCTTGATATAGGAAGACAGACATGGCATCAGTGTAAAGTAATAATAGGAATTCTGCAGCTAAGGCTCTGTTTTGTGCCTGCTCTGGCTGGTGACCCTCTCAGGGACCCAGGGAAAAGCAGATGGTTCTCCAGGCCTTGAGTCTTGGCCCTTTCTTGTCAGGTTGGCAGGACTCCCCAGGAATTCAGAGTGGGGTTTTTCCAGGCCTTCCTGAGGATGCTGAGGGTTGAACCTGCTGCTTGGCAAACACGAGGCCACAATCCCTCTGCCCACCTTCTCTCTTGATGGTGAATGGACGTGGAGCAGGGCGTCCCTCATGTGGCAAGGTTCGCCATGATGCCCCTCCAAGAGTGATTCCTGTATAACCTATTCCAGTATTTTTGCTTCCACGGTAGCCTTCTGTAATTCTTGGTCACTCTCCCCAGCTGCTTCTCAGCTAGCAGCGGATTTGTGTTTAAACGTTTAGCTGCAAAGGAAAGATGTTTCATGTGACCAGACTGTGCTCAGTCTGGGTCAGAGTTAAGTGGGTTTTAGTAACACATGGTCTGTAGTCTTGCTCCACACTCTTCTGTTGACCGGTTGCTGTAGAGAGGAACATCTTGAGAACATCAACCTGTCTGGTGGCAGCTGGTCTCGGGACCTGTGTGAACTGCCATTTCAATTTCCTTGACGTAAGGTTGCGCCAGTGCATTCCGGGAAATTAAAATAGCAGCTCCCAGCCCCGGCAGGACCAGCATCGTTGACTTATGTGTTACCTTGTAAGACAGCATGCGCTTTCGCTCTGTTTATGCCCTATTTGTGCAGAAAGCAAATCTGAAGTACACCTTCAGCCTCCAGGGCTTAGCTGCCAACGTCAGCCATGACGGCCCCTAAAATTTCTCTTAAGTGGTGAACGTGCAGCAAGAATCAACTTGGCCGGAGGAGTTTGCATTCATCTGTCGTCCTGAAAAGATTTTCCCAATCTATACAAGATCTAAGCTTTGATTTCCTAGCTGACAGAAGCCAAAACGCATGCAATTTCTCTGCTGCTCTCTGGACAGGGAGGATATCTATGCATCTCACTGGGGGCAAAGGACTCATCTGAGCAGAAAGTTTTAAAACAGACACAAGCAACTTATCTAGGGTGGCTACGGACGGAGCACCCAAAGGGGGAATTCTTCCCTCGGAGCAAAATGAAGGGCGGGTGCCGGGAGCAGACAGGTGGGTGGAGGGGTTCTCCAGAGCAGCCGTGAGAGATACAGAGGTCAGGGTGGGGTACCTGGGATCTGCCACCCTTCTGGGTGTGCACCTGAGGCGAGCCAGGGCAGGTAGTGGTTAGGCTTGGTTCGGGAGGCCCAGGGCCAAGTCCCCGCTCAGCCATGAAGCTTCACCGAGCAGGTGCTTCTTTGGGCTCATCCGTGAGTCCGTCAGGATCTGGGCTGCTCTGGTGGCCCTAACCAGAACAGGCGCCACCAGATTTGCTTGGTTGGTTGCAGGCCCCGCTGGAGCACTTGGAATCCCGATGGACACCCCTTTGGAGATTTGGGAGAAAGGCTGTATGCAAGCCGGCGCTCCCCTCCAGAGCTGGCCTCAGCAACACAGGCCCTCCTGTCTCGCTGGATTTATCTTGCCCTGCCCTCCTGTCTTGCCGTGTCGCCACAGCCATGCAGGGCTTCTTGTGAGTGGAAGTTCCACTTCTGCATCTTGCCTGCCCCTCGCCATGCGTCCTGCCCAGTTATCCTGCCTCCTGGTACCTGCGCCTCTGTCCGTCTTCCTGGTCCATGACCCTCGGCTTGCTTAGGACCACGTCCTCCTCCTGCCCTGATGTGTCCTTCCAGTCCCTGGCTCAGTCCCATGTTGTGGCTTCTGAACTTTGGGCTGTCTCACCTCCAGTTCTGTTGCTCGGGTCCCGGTGCCTCTGTCTTGCCTCCTGCCGCCCATGTCCCAGCCTCTGCCGCTCTCAGCCTGATCTCCCTCACAGGGTTGTTGTGAGGAGAGGAGGAGGAGAGGAGGCTCATGGTGAAAGTGTAGTGAGTGTTGGAGTAGGGCTCTCGCTCACATTCAGCCACGAACCTCATAGGGTGACTTTGGGCCAGGCTCTGACGCTCAGCCCAACCTACCCCACAGGGTTGTTGTGAAGAGGACCACACAAGTGGCCTTGGAGGAAGAAAGGCAGGACAAAACATGCAGGATCTCCACAGGATAGGAGCGTACCTGCTGAACTGCTCCCTGTCGTAAGCCCTTTACCTGGATAGACCAGTAGACCAACTCAGCCAGAGACGGGTCCCAGGAACAGGAAGCAAAGCCCAAGCCGGGAAGGAGGACAGCCGGGCAGCAGACTTTGATCTTCACATCCAGAAATTTCCCCTGTGCGAGACGTGACTCATTCCCAGTGCAGAGGTGGGAATTTCTGTGAGGCCTGCTGCCGCATCAGCTGGCGTTTCTCGGACTGCAGAGATGGGGCCTCCATTGCTTAGGCAACACTGTGGATGACTTCACTTTCCCCACAATGTCATAAGCCAGCCCTGAGGATGGTTTAGCTCAGTGCAGCCCCAGGCATCCGCCCTGACTTCCTACCCAATGGAACCCCTCAGCCAGGCAGAAAACTCATTCTCCGTTTTAGTGCGTCTTCTGGCTCGCTGACTCAGAAAGCTACGAAGTGGGCCCACAATTTTTCCCCTTTTCCCTATGCATTTTTGTTGCCCCTGGCAGGGCAGGTCTGGCTCATGGGGCTCCTCTGAAAGCAGAAGGGCTACCCTGCACGGGGCCGTTCTCCCTAGGTGGCCAGCACACATCACCCACCACAAACCATAACTGAGGTTGTTGCGTTTTCCAAAAAGTGTGCTTGTCACAGTGAAAGGAATATGCCTAGTTTGATGGGTGGAAAGACCCAGCTTTACAAGTTGCTGTTCCCAAGTTCAGTTTCTTGTATCTCCAAGTAGGACCAGGAAAACTCCCCCTGAAACTCCAGGGACAGCTGCCAGTTTTGGCAAGCTGGACTCAGTAGACCGATTGTTCCTTCTGATTGTCCTGGGGCACTTCTGTTGTCCTGAGCATTTGGCAATATGAGGATGTTTCATAATTAAGTAACTGGGCACAACTAGGGGAAAAGCTGTTGCAATGTTTTGTTCCACTTTCCTTTCTGCTTGTGCATCATTCTTCTTAGTAGTTTTGCCCTGTCTCCGATAAACTTCGTAATTCCTATTCTATTGTGTGTTGGTGCGATTGCTACATAAATTTACTGCTTTTGAAAGACACCAAAGCATGTCAGCCCCATCAGTTGCAATGGTGGAATTGC